TGCCAAAGTCCCTATTTGCTCGCGGTGTGGCGACAGAGCAGTATGCTAGAGTGGCGATTCCTGAAGCAAAGCAGGACTGCAGCCTCCCGGAGTCCCTTTACCCATCAACCCTGAATGCCACTTCAAGACTTCAGGCCCCCCCACCCCACCCAAGTTGAAAAAGCCTCGGTTGCCTAAGCCGAAGTCTGTTCCCGTGTCTAAGGTTTGGTCGATGCTCGCCCTCTCCGTTTTGATACCCTTTGCGTCCCCGCCCCAAAATGCATTTCAGGGCCAAAGAAAGCAGCTCCGTGGGAATTGGGATTCAGGAATTTCGGGTTTGATATGATTATGATTATGATTATTAAGATTATCATTATTATTGTTATTTTATTATTTTGTGTGTCGGTGGAGGACTTATGCGTGTGGAGCACAGAGCAGTACAGCAACTGCCTTTCCGGAAATCAGAGCCGGCCCAAGCCTTCCTACCGTTTTCAGGGGCTTCCACATGCTGGCCCTGCTTTGCAATGTGACCAGCTGCTGGCCCGAACTAACGGGTTCAGTGGTTCTGGCATTGAGGGGGTGAGGGCGGTGTTCTCTGTTGCAGGCACATTTATGTCACTGGATTATGCGCGTAGGGGTGAGTTGCTGGATGCACGGCGGCACGGCGGAGCTGAAAGAACGTCTAGGGGAAAGCTGCAGACCCCGCGTGTTCGACAACTCTAGCAGGATTCTACACGCAACGTTGTGGGAGTGTCTGATGTTGTGAGTTGACTCCCGTCACTGAGGCAAATCGACTTGTGGCCGCCGTCCACAGTGGAATTCCCGACGCCTGAATCGATGCAACCTGCCCGACTCATAGTTTTTGGGGCTTTCGACTTCAAGAAGGCCTTGGAGACTTGAAAGGGCTTCACCATGCTTCACTCCTCGTCCTCAAGGGGGCCAGTTCAGTTTACATGCTCCCACAGTTGAAGGTGGTTCTTATGGCGATAAACACAGACTGATGCGAGGGGTTCTTGTATTTATGACTGCGAAGCATTGAACATCAATTGAGCGAAGAAGGAAAGGCACTCCTTCCCAATTCCCCTGCGCCATCGACCCCAATCGAAAGTCCTGCTAAGCCCCTCCATCCTCAACATTTTCCATCCAGGCAGCGAATACAGGCAGATCTTCTGCTCGCCGGTCGAGTGACTTGCCGTGATCAAGCTGGAAGCGCGGCTTGCAGTTCGGACGGGTTGGCTGTGGTGTTTGAGCGCGATTTCGAGAGTCTCCGATCATGACAAATCCTCTCTGAGACCAGCACAGCCGATTCAGGGCTGTCTAGACGACGTTGTGCTGTTACAACACCTGGTCAGGTTTTCAGAGTAAAGGCCGAGTCAGCAGGCCCACAGAACATCCCAAGCTCCCGACAAGGGGCCCCCCCAAATGCAAGCACTTCTCTCGCGAGGCTTCGACCCTGCGAAGGCCGTAGAGAAGTGGCAAAGTGATGATCAAAGGATTGTAGACTTGCTAAAGTTATTCGGTCCGAGTACATCATGTTCAGACAGTGCTTTGCAAAGCGGCCTTTGCGCAGGCTTGGACGATTCGACGAGAAGAGTGCACCTGATATAGATATGTGGAAGGAGTCCGTCACAAAGGTGTCTCACAGTTTCGCATGCAATCGCGGCTTAAATCGGAATGTCAAGGGCCGTGCCTCAGTCGGGTGTAGTCACAGCAAGAGGACGCGCAAGCATAATTTGCAGAGCTCTAAAATCTTCTGATGCGATCGTGCGAGCCTAGTGAAGGCCAAAGCTGCTTTCCAGACTTAGAAGCTCGTGCTCCTTGAAGGGGATCGCCACCAAAATGTGTGTGAAGTGTAGTGAGAACGGCAAGCCCCAAGCCCTTGACATATGGATAGATTCAAAAAGTCGAATCTGAATATATTTGTTGTTAAAACTGATATAAATAGTTTCTGTCGCCTTGATCCTATCTACAATCTATTGCGAGTAAGTTAATGGTCGCCAACACATCGAAAATCCCTTTCATCGAGATGTTACTGCGAACACTTTCGAGCTGCACGAGGTTCTTGCTCACGTATTATCGCCGCTTGCTATCAGTAGTCGTGTTTGGCCGCCCTCCGCCGTCCGTGCCGACTTACATGACGATTTTCTTATACCACCATACTAATATTGGAAAAAATTCTAGTCTGGAGAGTGATGATGTTGTTACATTTCTCATGTCCGAGCCAAGTATAGGAAATTATGGAAGGCGGAAAAAAGAACAGTTATGTAGTGCGATTGATTATTATATTATTCTATGTTTTTTCTATTGTTAACTATTCGGATTTATGCTCGAGCCTGCTATGCTATACTAAGATCAAAAAATAATTCAAATAAATAAAGCAAATTATATAATTATATAATATAGGCATATATTAATTATGAATTAGGCGCAGCTGAAGGATATAGGTAGTTATTCATATCTAAAGAGAAATGATTTAAATTTTGCGAAATTATAATTGAATTCGTTTTTTTTTGATTCGTTTGAGTCTTTTGTTATTTTAAAAAAGAGAATTAATTAATGTAATTATTCTAGTTTCGAGGGCTAGGTATATTTATAAAATATTAAAGAAATTAGATTTGAATTTAGGGCATAGCATAGTATTTCGGGTACTAGAGAATAGATTTTGAGGCACGAATTTAATTATGAAATTACTTTTTTAATATTGTTCTTATATAAGAAGGATCATAATAAATTAAATATTTTTAGATAAAAATAATAGTCTTCGCTTATACTATTCTCGTGAATATACGACGAGATTTCTAGAAGATTCGATATCAAAAATTATTAATAGAAATCGAAAAATAAAAAATTACGATAGACTTCGAAATTAGTTAAATCGATTTAAAATATAAATAAAAAGTCTTGGAGAATGAAATAGAAGATTTTCGAAAAATCGAAATTAAGATAATTTTAATATGAATTGAATATAAAATAGAAGATTACTAAAGAATTCGATATTAAAAATTAAGAAAAAATCAAAATATAATAAGATATTCTTCAAAAAAAATCGAATTGAATATATTTAGGGCAATTTTATTATGAAATTAGTTTTCGATCTGGGTTTAGCGCCTGCAAACAAGATCGAAAATCTCAATATAAATATTTTTAATGGTCGATATTGGTTATATTCAATTCTTTTTTAATAATTGCCTAAATCGACTAGGCATTTATTCGATTTATAATGCCAAATATAGAGGAAAATAGCCTTCTATGGGACCCTCCCCTCGCCTTTTTTTTAATATTATAAAATCTAAATAGAATATAGGATCCTATATAGAGAAGGGCTGGGATATTCCGGGTCCCACCAGATCTTATCGAATCTGATTTGGATCCTATATAGAGAAGAGCCGGGATCCCGGGCCCTGTCGAATTAGATTTAAGTCTTGCCATAGAGAAGAACTCAGATCCTCCAGGCCCGCCAAACCCCTATCGATCCCACTATCGGGAATAGCTGGACCCTCCGAGCCAAGCCCAACCGTCTGCAGGTCGCCATAATACAGGGGTTGCTCCACAACTCCATTTCTGAATATATATATATATAAAATAAGATATCTCAAAGAGTCCTGATATATTTGAAGGGCAATACATGTCGTGATACGTATAAGATTGCTGATTTCGAGGGCACGATTTTAAATCTAGAAAATATTCATGGATCCGGCTTCGATATAATGCGCCTCCATATTCTGAGAATGCCAGTAGCTTATATATACCTCTATCTGAGGGAAGATCAATTCTATAATATATAGGGTCCTATCGTAGTAAGCTACGCGCAAGCTTCTGCTCCAGTCTAGAAAGATCAATATTTGACCAATTACAAGGAATTGGAGTGAAAAGCAAAATAAGATTTCCGGCAAATTCTAGATAATATATATTATAGATCATTCTTCCCGGGATTATTAGAAGAATTAATTTCATAGAGGCATTCTTATAATTATATTCAGGAAGATTCCTAGCACAAATTACTTCTACCAAGCTTCCAAGCTGACGCCCCGGCTGCCCTTGGAACCGGCCGACTCCGCCACTCTTCACCATAGAAGGGAATATTAAAGTAGTCCACAATCTCTTTCTTATCTTATTGCCGTATCTTCTTCGTCTCTCTCTTTATTCATATTTCCGAGCTTCTGAATAGCGAGGGACTTTAATCTATAAGAGAGGAACTTAGAGAGCTCGAATCTTATCGCCTTTATTTATTCTATATTTATAATCTTATTCTATCTCATATTTTTTTTGGGCATATAAACTACCTACATCTCGAAATTATTACATTTATAATTTTTAGTAATTTCTTAATCATAGAAGCTAAATAGATTCAAAAAATATATCGAGTTTAAATTATATTTTCTCATATAATCGATCCAATATATCTTATATAAAAGAAAGAATTGAAATCTAGATTTATAAGACCGATCTATCGAATTTATTCCATTAATTTATATACTATATACCCTATATTATAAATTAATCAGGTTTCCAAATATATTTATAGAATAAATGATAGAATTGAGCTATCGATATCTGAATTTATAGTCTATATATATCGAAAGAGAATTTTAAGAATATTAGATTTATCTAATTAATTATTAAAAATCTATTATTAATGTTGCAAGAATATCAATTTCGGAATAAGTATCAAAATAATCTCTTATAGATATTCTGAGCACGAGATATATGGGAGATTCAGAAAATTAGGGTACCTTATTTTGGGGTCCTTATAATAAGAATCCTATTATTTAAGGTACTATATTAGAGTCCCCTATTTTCGGAAACCCCCATATGTAAGTGTAGTCTGTAGGATTTGTGAAGCATGGTTTTATTCGGCTACTAGTTAATGATTACCATGAATTTCGATAGTCCGGGCAAGGCATATCATAAATTTGAATATCGAAGCCTGGACCTCCAAGAAAATACGAACCTTAAGATATTGACTGGAAGGGTCGTGATCGGGCTTTAAGATATTGACTGGAAGGGTCGTGATCGGGCTCTCAAGCAAGCCTTCGTTGCTGCAGTTTTTCCCCGCGCATGTGTCGCAGTAGCTCGTCAGAAAAGGCAGGCATTAGCTTGTCTCTCAGCCCGGCATCCTCCACCAATAGCGAACGCAAACTGTCCTGCAGGCGAACACTCTTACAGGTCTTGAGGTTGCGGGGCGACCTGCAGTCGGTGTTCAAGCGTGCGTTGGTTGCCATCAGGATGCTTTTTGCCGGAGTCTCTTGGTTTCGTCCCCTTGTTTGCGTTGTTGGTTGTCTTGCTTATCGCGTGGGTTTCGGAACATTACCTGATGGTCCTGATTTCCATTTTTTCTGCATCGTTCCCGGTTTTGTTCCGTCTGTGGCTTGGTTTACGGGATTCCCAAGCCTTTTCAGATCTTAAATACTCTAAAGACTCTAACGGATTCAAACCCATTTAAAGAACAACTTGACAGGATTCCACTGGTAGTGATGAAATTCGAAGGATTTTGCCAATACGTTGAGCGTGATCGTGGCGGCATTTTCACGGTTACAATGTATGGGCTGCTGCTTGCGGCAGGTGTGTTTCGTAAGTTTGCTAGTAACGCTAGTAATGTCACTAGTCTTTCTGAGAGAATACCAACTGCAGTACTTGCATGTGCTGGAATAGTAATTATACGAGTAACCTTTATTACGCAAGTAGACATACTAATTAAAACAAGTTACATAGTAGCCAGAGAAAAAACGGCAGAATAGTAGCACTGGTAGTGAAAAATAGCCATGATCGCGCAAACATAGTGACAGTGGCAAGAGCCAAACATTAGTCATACTAATAAGACTTATAACAGCACTAGTAATAGCGTTCGCAATCATAGCAGTTACACTAACACCAGCAACAGTAATAGCAAAACAACCGAATAGAAATGAACATACCCCTTGGTGCTGAAATTACTCACTGTGATAACAGTAACACGCTTGTGCTAAGAGGTGCCAACAAACATAATCACGAAAGTGATGATCATGATGAGAATAACAGCAACAACAGTGGTGGTGGTGGTAGTAGTAGTAGTAGTAGCAAGCTTGCACATCTGAAAAATAAACTGGGAAGGTGCATCATCGCATCACCATCATATTTCTTTCATCATCATCGTCATCCGTCGTCGCAGCATCAAAAGCAGTAGCATCATTCTGAGCGCATCTCAGCACCAGGAGCAGCAAGGACAAGGCAGCAGATACAGCTCTGGCATCAACATGATGTCGCAGTGCCCTTCATAGTGACTGTGTTCATGGCTGAAGCTCGTAGCCACCATTGACATCACAAAATCGCCCGCATCGTCACCGACAACACCATGAGTCCATCAGCCTCATCATCCTGACCATGGTCATCCAGCGCATCATCGCCCCGATCCCCATAACCATCAAAATCAACACGAAAACTCATGATGCAGATGCTTCATTCATTCTTCATCATTCACCAATCATAAGCACATAATATCATGACATCGGTCTGGTCTGTCGCCAGCATTGGCTCTGTAGTGACGTCCGTTGGCAGTATTGCTATGAGTTGTGCTTCGAGCCAACGACTTCTCTATCTACAATTGCAGCCCCGCACCTGGGACCAGCGCAATGTCTGCACACCCTGGGCTTGACGGGGGCTCAGAATCGAAAGGTCTTGCGCAAACGTCATATGGACTAGAAATGACGCATACGCTTGTCGCTCTGTGGAGGGTTTGCCGCACGTTCGCTGGTTGTGACACCTGAACCACCTGCTACACGCTGCTACCCCAAGCTTTGGCGTCCATGATAAGGACAACGAAAAACATAGCAAACTGCAGCCAGAAACACAATCTTAGTTGTCACAGCCATCCTCATCACCATGTCATGTCCGTACGTACGTATATGTGTTTTGTATGCATGCCTATCGCACAAGAAAATGGGGTTCAAGTACGACCTGCATTTCAGAGAAGAATTACGGCGACTCCTTGACTCGCATCGACGAATGATTAGCGCCCAGTGCATGACCAGTCATGAGAGGCTTCGGACAAGACGACTTAGCAGCCCGTGCTACGTTCCAGTATGAAGTGTAGGACAGTATCGTAATTCGGGGCGTCAAGCACGAGGCTTGGGACCTAGTGGTAAGCCTTAGAGGCCAACAAGAAGCCCAAACCCCGAAGACATATCTGTATTGTCAACCTCGAAGGCGAAACCTCAAACTCGATATCTTGGGGATTTGTGCGGTCGTATTGTGGCACGATTGAAAAAAAAAGTAGATCCTCAGCCACGACTCGAAACCCCCGCAAGAGTAACAAGGGCTGCAGCTGCAGCAGCTATTGAGGCGATTAGAGATGATAGAAGCCTAAGCAACCCTCTGCCACACGCGTTGGCGCCTCTTCCTCGTCGACCCGGACCGTCGCCGAAGCCAAGCTCTCGGCCGCGAAGCCGAGGAAGGTGGCCTTGCACAGAATCTCTGGAAAGACTACAGGAAACAAGAGATCAGAATATATCAGAATATTACGAACAGAATAGCAATACTATAAGGGATGACGCAGTCGTACCCAGAACAGCAGCAATAGGATCTCAGCGCACGCTGCGCAACTGCGTTTGCAGGCCTTTGTGCACTATTTGGTGTGGTTTCAAGCATCTCTGCGTGGGATGCTGTTGGGTCTTGAACGGGCCTGGCCACTGCCTTGAACCACACTGGAAAAAGCAGTATCGAACCTTGCAACGCTTGAAAGGTTCGCGGGCATACGACGCAGAATCTGGTTCTCACAGACGATAAACTATGATGGAACGCCCCACATTACACATTCACTGTAAGGCTTGGGAGAAGCATGCATTCATGTCCGCGTCTGAAGTTGAAATCTACCTCCCGAAAAATCCGAAAATTGCCAAACGAGGTGCTCACTGCACAAGAACATCTTGAAAGCAATCCAGTGAACGTGCCATGCTCACTACTACAGGAGCATGCGACATACGAAGCGCAAAAACAAAGCGAGCCCATGCAGCTTGCAAGCAAGCGGAGGTCCTGACAACACTTTAGGTGTTTTTCTACATCAGGATCTTGTTCAAGCTCCTTCGGCTGGGTGTATACAAAATAAAAAGAGCCGGAAAGAAAAGCACATGCCTCGCCGATAAGGGCACCGTCGGACAGCTGAGCCACGGTTTGGGAGTTGACATTGACGCTCCTACAGGTGGCGAGGGCAACGACTTGGGGTCTAGGAGTCTTTGGTTCAGGGCGTGCGTGTTTTGCGCTCTGGCCTGGATTTTTGGAGCCTTATGCCTCACATCGGGCAAAGGTGGCAGCGGCAGCCAAAACCTCGAACCTCAGCCTCAAATCCGGAGCATCGGCTTACCCTACTCCGTCGCAGACTCGACGCAAAACGACTCCTACATCCACCCTGACCCCGTCCTGCCTGCTTCATGGGACCCTTTGCCCCGACCCGAAACCAGGAAACCTGCGTCTGCGGCCGGGCATCAAGGATCCCGACAAGACCAGCCAGAGGAAGCGGTTCTCGATCCCCTGGGTGGTCAGGCCTCACGACAAAATCCATTCATCTCAGGCTTGCTGAGTCTTCACATAGTACGGAAAAAACGACTCTGGAAAGCTTTGCATCTCAAGTTCTGCAGCGAGTGCAGCGCCGCCACCGCTAGCACCAGCACCAGCACCGCAACCCGCCACTACCGCCACCACCTCCAACCCCGCCACAACCAAAATCACAACCACGACCGCAACACAACCACAACAACGACAGCAGCAGTATAAGTGGTGGAAATAGAGGACTAAGAAGTAGCGGTAGTGATCGTAGCAGGGATAGTCGAAGTGGGACCTCCCTGCTCGAAGTGTATCTCCTCAAAGGGGCTCGGCGACACCTGCACTCCAACGGTTTCCGGCATGGGCCCAATGCCGAAATTTCCGGTGGGCGCTCAGCCCTCACGTATGCGCCGCGGACACAGCTCGGCGTTTATCATGAGGTTCTAGGGAAGTCTCCACCATCTAGCTGAACACCTGGCGGAGCACTTGATTGGGTCCCATGGTGGCGATCAGTGCTCGTGCCGACCAGTAACGCGTATATCCGTACCCCTTTGGCTCAAGCCAACACACACAGCTTTGTTAGTGGCAGGGTGTAGAATAGTGGCTCATCTACAGAAGCATCAACTCCAACATCAGCAAGAGCAACGAACAAAGCAAGACAATCAAAGGCGAAGAAAAGAGAAAATGGAGCGGCAGTAGCTCGGCAGTGGCAGCGGCCGCAACATCTAGACGTGCCGGGCTGCAGCTACCCTCCGAATAGGTGACGCTGTCGGCCACTTTGAGGAACCGTGGCACCTCTGCCAGGAAGGTTGTAGACGAGCGTGAGGATTCGTGGCGGATCGTGGCCACAGAATTACAGGGTTCTCAGACAGATCAACACGTGAATATGCTCTCCATTCCTCCGCCCGTCATTCATTAAGTACACACACATAAAGCCGAACCGTGTAGAAGCATCGACGTGCGGAAAGCCGGGCTGACACTGAAACCCCAAGCCCAAATAACATCCCTGGGAAGGACTCGATCCTGAGATCTTTTCCTTTAGCCGCAAAACAAAAACCCTAAACTCAATTCATCCCACAGGCTATGTAAGCTATTTCCTGGACCCTTAAGCCAGGTTGGATCTGACCGGCCTCCGCCATGCCAAGCTGAGGGAAAGCTTTGCGCAGCTGCGCCAAGAGTCTCACGGACTCCTCGGGAGAACGCCGGCCGGCTCCCCGACCGCGGACCATCTTTTCAATGAGCTCCTCGGGGCAGTTGTTTGGGGCCCTCGTGGTTTCGGAGTTCGGGATTTCTGATGCAAGGCTTCTCAGAGCGGACTTAAACTGTCTGGGCTTCAGGATTTCGGAAGACATCAGCGACCTGTGAGCTGAGGCCGAAAGAAGGTTTCGGGTAGGAAAAGCCACGATGTCTGGAAGTTACAGGTTGAAGCTTTTGAAGCTCCGGCGCGTTGATGAAAGCTTGCCAGTTCGGGCCCTCTCTGTAAGATGCAAGCCCGAGGGTCGGGCTTCACTAGGCGCATTACCTTCGCTCAAGGCAGACCAAATCGAGGCATCGTCCACCCGGAAATAACTTATTCTCGGAGCTCAACACTGTGTTGTGTCGGTGTATTGAGATACTGACGGGAAGCGCATTTGCAGAGATTGGGTTGAGGACGGCCTCCACCCTCAGGCGGAACTGACTGTCCAGAATGAAACTTCGACCAAGCACCCGGCATGTTTGCCTAAAGTACCTACCTTATGCAACACACCTTAGGGTTGCAGGGCTCCAGGCCTCCGATATTGCGGCCATCACCTTCTCGCCTAGGGCTGCCTCCTCCTCGCAGAACTCACGCAGCCGGTCCTCGCGCCAGCTTCGTGCTTCCGTTTTTGAGGCAGATCGAGGCTCTGCGAGATGAAGTGTGTGCGCACGCTCTTTGTGTCTTTTTCCTGAAGGTATTTCTTTCTTCCGCTCTGTTGTTGTTATTGGATCCTCTGCCTTTTTTACTCGCGTTCGCTCGAAACACTCTACTGTCCTACGTTTTTTTGAAAATCCAAAAATCTCCATCCCTCCCCTCTCCCCCTGAGCCCTCGAATTGTATAACTTGCCTACAAAGATGCCATGTTTCGTTGAACGGATATGCACATATTTCGGGCCGGGGGCACCGAATGAGTGTAGCCAGCAACCAAACAGGGTAGGTGTAGGAAGGCAAGAGTTTCACATGCCAGGCAGCATCCTGTGCCCGACATGTAGTCTAGAGTTCAACCACTGGGCACACTGCATGCATATTACTATGCACGATGCTCCATGTGTCTGTCTCTGTGAATCTGTGTGTGTTTTTCTGTGTCCGTGCCTGCGTGTGGGTTGTACACTTCGGCAGAGCTGCGACACCGAAAGCCGTTAGGTGAAACTCCGGTCCTGCGACCAACGGAGCGTTCGTGCCCCGCCCGTGTTCGCGTAAACCGTGGCTGTCGCCAGCTTGTCCTGCAGAGTAGGGGTGTACTGGTACGGCGTACGGCCCAAAGCCACACCAAAGCAAAAGAACGAATCGTACCCCTTTGTATTGCCGGCCTTGGGGTCAAGGAAGGTCACCTCTCCGATGATGGCTTTCCGCTCCAATGTGGAAGCCACCTGACTCGCTGCGCCCTACAGCTCCAACTCCTCCTGCCGAATCTCAGCCTGAGCCAAAAGCCCTCTCACGTGTAGACCTCCAGGGCTAAAGCGATCCCCCGGAAACCTAAACTCTCCAAGCCGTCAAGGGAAAAAGACCAAACAGATCGGCCTGACCGCTCACCTCCACAACGAGGCTTCCCGAAATGACGAGCCAAATGTAGGGGTTCACCTCCGATGGCCAGAAGGGGGTTCTGGGAATCGGGTTCCAGAGGATTCTGGGTTCGTGTCGTTGGAGGCTTCAAACCTGCTTGAATTCAAGGAGAACGACACCGCGGCGCAAATTCTATTCCTGCTCATGGGATGATGTGCACTCCTTCGCACGCTCGACAGTCGTTGGTGGTATGAACCGCTAGCCAGAAACAGACACAATCCCCTCTTTTCTGAACCCTGTCAATCCGAAGCAGTCGTCAGCAGCCGCCGTGGAGCCCGGAATCACCACTTGCAACGAAAGCAGCCAGGATAGGAACGGTGAGGAATTGAAGAACAGCGGCAACGCAAGGTGTAGTGCAGCAGCAGTGACATCAGAACTGGCAGTAGTGTCAGTAGTGTCTCTTGGAGAGGTTGAAGTGGAAAACCATACACTGATCCAGGAAAGCCAAAAGCCTCACCTTAAACATGACGTGATTATCACCACCAAACACACCTCTGGTTCTGGTGCAGGCCTCCCCCTGGTCCGTCAGAACAGAGCGGGGCTTGTAGTAGACCTGCACTGCAGGCTCGCTGAGTGCACTTCGGGTCCATGTTGGTTTTGTGCGGGCCCAGAGCGGCCAGAAGCTGGAAAACAAAACAAACCTGCGGTCGCAGATCTGGGGCTCCCCTTCTCGCGGGGTTTCGGGAGCAGGCCTCCTCTGCTTCTCTCAGGAGCTTCGAGAGCTCTCGCTTCCTGAGCTTCGGCGAGGCTTGGAGCCCTTTAGCCCAGGACCTGGGAGAACTGTGGGATGACGTGGGGTATTCTCAACACTCCGGACGATGCTGCCAGCATCAGGGCCTTCTAGAAATATTGAACAAGGGCTGTGGCCATCCTAAAGCTACGCGACTCCCGAGGCGCCGATTGGGCCCTAAGACTTCAAGAGCGAAGCTAAGGGAGATCTCTTCGTGCAAGCCCTGGCGGCGGTAAGGAAGGGAAAGCCGAGCGAAGCTCTCCCACCAGCCAAGTGTCCTGGCTGGTCGGAGAAAGGACGCTGGGTCTGTCGGACTTCGGGCTTGGCTTTACACAGGTGGAGGCCTCAAGGCAGTTCTGTCGCACAAACAGGCCTCAGCAACAGAAGCCCACCCAATACTTAGGTCTTCCGACTGTCCTGGATCCAGCTCGAAACCCTCCCCCAAAGACAAAAGCAATGGAACTGGTCGTTCGGGTGTACTCGTCTGCAAGTATACCACCAAGAAATGGTAGATTGAAAGTCCGGCTTCAAACCCTGTCCCACCAGCTTGAATTCAGCGGGGCTCCTGAATGGAGAGCGCCTCCTGCCATGCAAACTTGCTCCTCAGGAAAACGGCCGCTGACTGCGCGGCGAAAAGGAACAGGGATCCGACCTCGATCGCAACAGAAGCCGAAAAGCAAGCAGCAGGGCGAATCCTTCGGCAGGAGTGGGTGAATTTTAAGCGCTTCTTGGCAGATCTTGCGAGAAAGCACCCCCGAATGGTGGTCATCCCCTGCCTTGCCATCAAGATACCCTTACTACTGGAACCTAAACCTTGCACACAAGGAGACGAGGAGCAATGGCCGGAACGACGATAAGCTGTACACCCTCGGCAACCCACTGCCAGTCCTCGGATCCGTGAATCTGGCGTTCAAGCTTAGCCATTGAGCTTGGGAGTCTCCGAATTTAGGAAAGCACTGATGTAGAATGCAGGGGCAGCGCAGCTTTGCGAGGAAGTATAATTGACTCCTGCACCGCCTGCACATGGTTCAGCAGACCTGGGCTTACAGTGTGCCGCAGTTCTGCTAGTGCGTCAAGTCTTGGGAGGTGAGGTCGATGAAGAGCCACCGACGAACATCCTGTTTTCGCTCTACCGCTTCAGGCCTCAGGCCGGGTGTCTCTGCCCTACAACCGCCCGAAGAGGTCCGGCAGAAACAAAGAGCACCAACAAAAGGAGACTTCCAAAAAAGTGCCGGCCATGGCCGTGACATTGACGAGCGGCCCTTACGGGTGGCAGCCGAGGGAGGGCCTGGTCCACAGCCAGGCAGGCGAAGGCCCCGGCAGGGGCGAAGAGGCTCCTCACAGAGAGGCATGAAGGCATGAAGGCATATGGAAGGAGGAGGAGGACCGTGACAGCTGTCTTAAAATATGGGACAAGGAGTACGAGGAGGGTAGGTTAGGGAGATCCGCTGTGGCTGAATTGCTTGATTTGGAGAGCAAGGCATCTAACCAGTCGAAAAGAAGGAGCCTCAGCATTAACTGAGCTGAAGCCCCACATTTGTGATTCCATGTGCTGTTGTGTATTTGGCCCTCCGAAAGGGATTGAAAAACGAGGCACCGTGTGGAGCGCATCCACAGTAGGGAGCCGCTGGCTGCTGCTGCCCGGGTTATTGCCGGCTGGTCGCCACCGAAGCTGTAGATGGCCAGCATGGCCTACCACGTTCACAGTGACCGCTCGAAACATCTGTAGCTGTAGCTGTTACGATGATGTTACTTCCTCGTCTCCTGCACATCTTATAATGAGCACCACACAGCTGCCGAGCAGATTTTCGTCATTTGGAAAACACAATGGAATGTACCCGGTCCCCAAGCCGCAGCGCCACGTATCCTAAACTCCTCTGGGTGCTGGATGCAGGCTCAACTTGAAAAGCTGTTTGTTTTGATCGTGATGTGGCTATTTGTGGGGTTCACGTGATTGGCTGTCTGCCGTTCTGTCATGTAGTCTTGGTAGTCACTCGTCGCCATCGTCGTAAGACTGTGCTTCAACAACCTTCTGTGTACACACATCTTGTTTTCCTGTTGATCAGATATCTCATGTGTTGTCCTTGCACGGCGGATATGAAACAGCCGGCTTACGCCACAAAGGATCTCCATTCCGTAGTGTTTGGTACATCTGAGATCTGCGCGTGCATTGCCCCGGTAGATTGAACTCCTTATCGAACTCAGCTGCGACGATTTCATCCGCAGACCATGGATCGTGTTTAAGCTAGGTGCCTTTACGAGTGTCTTGCAAGCAACTGCGAGGCCGTTGTTGACTCGCACATGTTGCTGCATGCACAGGTGGGTCGTGGACAAAGGGGGTTCGTCACGGTTTCGTGGAGTCGCTATTTAAAAAAGCGAGTGTCTCAGCTGAACGGAAGCTCGCAAAATGGTTGAGTGCTCTGCGTTCGAAGTGAGGTCTCAGGGCACGGGACCCCGAAAAGTCGCATCCGAAATGCAGCAGTCTGGACATCCCCGTCGCTGAACCGAAACGAGTTCCTAAACTCAGTCTACTGCAATGCAGCAGTCGGAACTTGTGCTGTGTTGATGGGCCGGGATGCGCAGAAAGCGCAGCCGACGCAGGCAACCAGCACCGTTCGTACAGCCTCCGTGTCACCTGAAGCAGGTGTGAACAGGGTGATACCTCTATATAAACACACATAACATACATGAAGAGGATTGTGCGGGAACAGAAGAGATACAGATGCATGCTAAACTGCTAAACTTCTAGAAAGCCTTAAATATGCGCCGTTGATGCCAGTTGAGGCGCTGATCGCCCCGCGCCGGCCCTGGAGTCCGGGGCCAAAGAGGAGCACGACCACGGAGCCTTGACGTAACTTGAGCTTCCGTTAAGGCCTTTAGGGCCTTTAGGGTTCAGAGTGCGCTGAGGATTTCCAGTTTCGATTGGGCCATGGTTCTTACCATATCAGGATGTTCCAAAGCTGGAGGCCTCAAAAAGGTGCGATGGAGGTCGGCAGGATTCAGGATCCCTTCTTACTTGGAGATTGCCTCACCTACCTTCACAAGGGATCCATAGGATTGGTGCTTGCAAATTGGAGCCTGAGTCCAGCAAAGATCGCTGTACCCCGCGCCCCGAGACCCAAACCTTAAACTCCAAAGCCTGAGCCCTCTGCAAGGAGCCTAGGGGTGGAGCCCACAGCGTCAGCGGCGTGCCAGAAAGCCCGCGGAAGCTCGAGGCGATGGCATCGAACTGACCTGGATTTTTTCAGAGATAGAGTTTTTTCGGGCATGAGGGTGGTGTAATTTTGGGCTTGGGGCCTGGCCCATCCCGGCAATGCGTGGCTGTTTCGGTTGATTTTTGCGTTTGCCAAGATCAACAGCTTGCAGCTCCGCAGTTGCCTTGGGGCGGAACGCCCCCAACACCCAAAAATCGGTTGAGCACGTGGTCTCGAAGACGAAAACACCGAGCAAACAGTCCGACAAAAGTAGTCAAAACCCATCCAGCACCGCTGTCCAAGAAATGTCGCGAACCGCAAATCCTGACCGTATGCGCTGACTGAACTTCTTCAAACTCCCGCCAATAAAAATCGACCGCAAGCCTACCTTAACCGTTGGAGTTGGAATCGTCAAACCTAAGTTTTGTTTCATCACTTCCTGGATCAGACGCTAAACCTGAGCTCGGTACCCAACACATAGATTGCCAGGGCCACGCCCACGGCACCTCGGTCTTATGGCTTGGGAGTCCAGAGATTTGTCTGGGTGCGAAGTCTGCCAGATTTAATCAAGGAAAACATGACTCGTTAATCCCTTCGTGCAGTGGTGGATCCTTATCAGATTGCCTGCTACTCCCCCAGGGCTTTCACCGTGTTGCGAAGGCTGAGCCCCCTGCTCGTGATAAGCTCGTAGCTTTCAGGAACGGGCACGTCGACAGTGAGCTCCTCCATTATATGAGTGGCTCTTTGTGTGGAGACATATCGCAGCATTTGCGGTCGAAGGTCTCGCTTGGAGAAACCAGGCCTTTGTGATGAGATGCGTTTTCTAGACAACAAACACTATCCGCTTACACAAACTGCTGTGCATCTGCACAACAAACACATTACCTATCCAGTTCGCATACTTCCTCCCTTTTTAAACTTCACACCTGGCCGCTCGTAATTGCAACCGCCCTGAACCCTGCAGCTCACGGGGCATCGCCTCGCTGCTGCGTCTTGAAAGCTACGAATCTTCTATCAACACCATGACTCGGTTCTTCTGTTGTTTCTATGCCTACGGCTCCTTCTGCCACTTGTTTCTGCTGTTTGGCTTCCGGCCGGGCCTGGAAGGGGAGGTAGTTGCGACCTCGCTGGGTGTCTCTGTCTAGGCCTGCCTTGCTGCGGTCCAAAACAAAAAGGATGCACCACATGGCGAACAATGAGCATAGCAGGCATAGCAGTTCTGATGCAACAGAAGATGAGACTAGTGAGTTTTGGCTTTCATAACGTGGGGGTTCTCTTTGGATGCTGTGCTTGCAGATCTTGCACGTGATCCTTTGAAACTTTTCTGGCATTACTGAGCCTTTCTTCGCTGGGCGCAAACCTCCTGCCGAATCACCACACATGTCGATATCTGCTGACCGATGCCATAAAATGCAAGGCTCCTCCAAGGCACCCGAGAGCATCCAAAGCTCGGGATGACTGATCCTACCGGTACCACCAGATCCGAACCCAGCACCTGTATCAAACGTTATCAATCTTGGCAGAGGCAGAGCAATCTGCAGTTCAGATATCAGATGCATACACACAAGCATACTTAAGTGCCAACAGTATTATAAGATCTGGTGTTGCAATACCAGGTGCCTGGCTACAGTATGCTGTGTTGAACATGCATCATGCTGGATTCTTCTACATCCGAAGCCCCGGACTCCAGTAACAGCCGGAGCCTGCCATAAAAGACCCCAGCGTTACCGGTTCCAAAATGAAAGCCTTCAAGGAAGCTCCCCAGCTGCCGAAGCCCCAAGGCCACGGCGAACCCAGCCAAACCACCTCGTTCGACATGGACGCTTCAGGGGGGACGGGTCTTGGAACAAGACCTACACACCTACACACCCACACTCCGCCGAAAGCGCAGGACTCCTGGGATTCCACCTCGACTCGGCATCCCAAACTGGCGAGCGACTCTTCCCAACTCCAAACAGTCGATTAGCAAAAACCCCAAGAGACGAAGACTTGCCCCAGCACCAACAACCCCAGGTAGGCCGGCAGAGCACCGCATCCCTCTTTCCGGCCCGGTCGCTCTTCGAAGCTGATCCGCTGGGGGCCGTTGCCAGGGCAAAGGTCCTCCACTCTTCGGGGAGTCGGCGCGGGAAGTTTTTTCTTCGGGGCAAAGCCTTCTTCATGTCTCAGAAACAACAGAAAGCCGGCTACAGATCCGAAAACCATCCGGTGCAGTCCAAGCCCCGTCCCACAGGCACAGAGGTGTCCTGCCAGTAGCCATCCAGCTCCTCGCACTTTCGTTTGAGGCGTTCCCAGAATCCCCGGGGCCGCTGTGCCGTTTTACATAAAGTTCATAAACAGATCTCCTCCAGACTTGCTCGAGGCGTGCGTGACGATGTGTGCGTGGAGGAACTAACTGGCTGAGCGCACACAGGCACGCGTCCTCTCCCGGAACCCTTCTTATCAACATCTTGAAGAATTGAAATTTGAAATCCTTTGCATGTGAGCAAACTTAGCGCCGACTCACAGACCCAACCCAAAAAACTGCTGTCATTCTTATTGGTCTCCTAGGTATTTGAGCACTGCTTGGTGCTGTCCTTCTACTACTTGCAACAAAAGTGGGCGTGTTTTGGCCTTCGAAGCGTACCAGCGGTTGCGTGTGCGCGAAACTCGTGTTTTAGAGGCAAACCGTCACTGTTCGGCATTGGTCCCCTCGCTGCCCTACGGCCGACACGCTGAGAATAACTCATCCTGCACCAACCCTCGAAGCTAATCGCTAGCTAACTCACCCGAACCGGCAAAATCTCCAAGGAATCTAGAACCCAGATCGACAAAAGATGCGACCGCGTCCTTGGGCGAGAGTTCTACCTGACCCGCTCCAAGGTGGCCAAGGTTTGGGGCTTGGGCCGCTTGGGGGGCTTCTGTGAGAGGACCAGGGCCTCTCTCTTACAGAATCAAAAAGATTAACTGCGCCCCCCCCCACCCCACCTAAAAACAAACAAACTCACATCGAGCTGCCGCAACCCGATCCATCTTGAACCCTACTGCAGCGAATAGCGAGTAAAGATATGCTTCAGAAACGAAATGCCCGAAGCCGAAACTCGTGCAACTGCTGGTAAGTTGACACCTGTCCAATACAGGTGCCCCGTGTAAGATTTCAAAACGATGCAGGATCGGCCTGCAGGGTGCGCTCCACAAGCTGTGTGAATTCCTGGCATACGGGCACAGACGGCAACACTTTCACCACAACCACCACGACTGCTGCTACCCCCACCATCATCATTGCCGTTGTTACAATCCGCTTGCTGCTGGCTTGCAAGTTACCCTTCATCTCCGTCATCATCGTTACATCGACGATCGGGTCCTCATCATTCTCACCATCTTCATCACCGTCAGCATCACCAGCCTCATCATGACCATCGCCATCATCGTCATCCGTCGCTTCCTCGTCTTTCTCATGCTTATCGAATGCTGCTGTCGTCGAACTCATAGCCCATTTCAACTCTAGCAAATTGGCGAACATCCAACAAGAGGCTGGCTGTCCGGCTCTGCTTTTTTGCGCGACAAGGTGAGACCAGAGGTTGTAAAACGAAACTCCATCCATGCTGCCCGCCCTGCCCATGCAGCAAGGGCGGTCTGGAAAAGGATGAATGGAGTTGCTTGAGGACGTTATCAGCACTCCGAGCTGCAAAGGAGAAGGCTCGGTGCCCAGGGCAACTGCGGATGGTGGCCTAGGTGCTTCTGAATGTGCCAACACATCATGAGCTAGTTGTGATTGCGCCACCATCCCGCGACAATCTCGCGGACGACAGCGCGTGAAGGCCCCATGCCTTGAACCACCAAGCCGCAAGGCCATGTGGGCCCAAACCTACACATATCTCAGCAAGGGTGACTCGTCCAGGGAGCTGTTCGATTGAAGCTTGCATCGCTTGGAATCGCCTGTCTGTGCAGGACCACACTCGCTTCCGATCCCAAACCCTGAAGGATTCGACCAATCCTGTTGCAGCCCAAACCACAGGATGGGAAGTGTACGGGCTGTTGAACTACTCTGCCTGAACACGCAAGGTGCAAAGGCACAAGAGAACCCTCAGAAACAGTGCCGGCTGAAGTGTGGTCGACATGTGAGGCTTTGGGTTCTGAGTAAATTGAGTAAATTAGCCGTGAGCCACTGAAGATCCAAAGTAGAAGGCTTTGCGTTCGAGACTCAATCAGAGATAAGCCCGAAGTGCTCACCCACCTCGGCTTGTGCACTTGAGATCAGACAGCTGGAGGCCGGGGAGGAGGCAGAGGAACACCGTGAGTTTTGATCCAAGTCAGACATACACAAGGGAGTATTCCAGTATACTCGGCAAACGCATTAACTACTGGCCAACCCAACTGTATGAAGACATCCCCTCTAACTCAAGGTTTGTAGTTCATTACAATCGCTCGGGACTTCGCCCTGCTTGAGTCCCGATGTGGCTTCGGCTCGAAGTTCAGTCTGTGGGGTTGGGCTTGGGTCCCAGGCATTGGGTTTGAAGGCTTCCGATCTGAAAGTCTAGGCTCTGAGCCTTCAGGAGACACTGGGGAGAACCTAAAGCCGTGTGTTCCTCCGAGTCACGCCGAAGTTGCCGGAGTCTCGCACCGTGAAGTAGAAGACATGATCCTTCTTACGTGAGGTTGAGGGTTGAGGGGCTGGAGGGGCTGGAGGCTTTGGGTTCAGAGTCGCATGTTCTGCCTGGGGTAAAAGCCGGGTTTTCGGACTTACAGCCGCGGCGGGCTTTTGGGAACTCTCTCGCGGCTCTCCCGTCACTTCAAGCTTGAGGTTTTGGGAGTTGGTGCTCAAGGCATCTCAAGGCTCGAGTTCAACAGGGATGGAAGAGGCTGGCTCTTGAAGCTCTCCGCATCCTTCCTAAGGCACCACCGAAACAGAAGCCGACACTGGTTTAGGTGACACCCAACACAGGGAGCTCGAGCGATAGATCCCGAGGCGGCACTAGCTAGATGTTGTGTCCTTTAAAACTGGTGAGTTGTTGCAACTAGCAGGAAATCCAGCTCCCTCCACCCATCCATCAGCAAAGTTTGGTGTGACAGAGGGCGAGAATGACACAAAACACACCGGGATCCCCAGAAGTCGGTCCGGCCCACGGCTGCTCGCATCCACAGTGAGATCCCAGCTCAGGAAGTTGCTGTAATATTTACCTGCGGGTCGACTCGCTGGCTGCTGGAGAAGCCAACAGCACTGCACAACGCGACGCAACGCCCAAACTTCGACAGGCCCCGGAGGGCATGCTGGCTTGAGCTGTGCTCCGGGCCTAGGATCTTGCTGAGGAGGGTTTTTAGTGTAGCTGCGTAGCTTCTACTGACAAGGCTCTAAATGCCGGGCCCAAGGGGCGCAAAGAGCTAATACTGGAGAAAGCGGTGCAGGCAGCCATGGGCTTTCCCGACAGCGTGCTCGCCTGGGGGGTGCCCAGTGGCTTTCAGAACTTTTCTGGTTTTGGACGGGAGCCGAAGGTTCAAAGCCAGAAACACGCGGAACTGCCAGAGTGTTGTAGGGCCAGCTAGGAAATCATCCTGGAACTACGCGTGATCTTCTGCCCGCATGGTTGTCGGGGTGCGGCAGCGGTGTGAATTCTGGGCTTGACTTTGACGGATTTGGCACTTTTAGCTACTACCGAGAGCGCTCCAGGAGCAAGCTTGATTCTCAAACCTGGCACCGTGCAGCATAGCTCTCATGTGGACTGCCGAATAAACCCCGACCCGAACCAACAGTAGGAAGCAACTCCACAAGGCCTTAGCTTTGTAGGTCGTTCCCCCCTACGAAAGCTACAAACAACAACCCACGACCATGCCTGGGGAGAACTCCAGCCCGTCTCCCCAAGCCAGAGAAGGTGTGCGGAACTGCCCGACAGCGACCTGGCTGTGCCAGTTCAACAGCTTCACACCCTTCAGCTCAGGGCGCTCAGCTGCGAGCTGCCGTGCGAAGGCTTCGGGTAGCGTCTACTGCTGACAGCCCACCCAGGCGACATTCCCAACGACCAACTTGGAAGAGGACAAAAGCCTGGCCAGAAGCCCGCAGAAGCCCACAGTGCCGCAGGGGCACTGCATCCTTGTGCGCATGTCTGTGACCATCTTTGGCAATAGGCATCTGGGGTCGCTGAAGCAGGTTGAGGTCGTCAGTGCCTGAACACGCGGGGTCTGAAAGTTAGGCGTCAGTTCTGGGTCCTGAGTCCTAAAGTTGAGGATCCTATTGCTAAAGGCCTGTTGTCGGATTCGATGCTCCTGCATGAATGAAATACTTGCTCCGGTTTCGTTGTGGGGCTCGGTTGCCTCATCAAGAGATCCGCAAAGAGGCGTGAAGCCTTGGGAATAGAGGTGGTAACAATCGAACTTGAAATGTTCAAGTTCCCTACGCTGTCCATGCGATGCAAAGAACCCTCTCTGCCACCGGCAGAGGAAAGCCTTCACGTAGCTTCAGGCTTCAGGCATTGGGCCTGTGTGCACTTGGTACTGGAGCCAGGATCCAGCGCATTGTTCGGGTCGAAGTACCTTCGCCAGCGGTTCCCGCGCTGTGCACAAGCCCTGCCTACGCCAGAAGCCGCAATCGGAAGCCCTGAGCCGGCCCAAGTCCTAAAGCGCCGGGCCACGGGTAGATGTTCAAGGTAAACACCCAGCGCTTGCCTTCCAGACATCCCGGGCTGACAAAGAGCATGGCTTTGGGGGCTTCGGTCAGCGATTCAGTGGTTTCGGACCTCTGGGGTGTTCGTTCTGTCTTTTCTCTCTTTCTTCGCCGATCCTGTTCTTCCATGTGTTTCCGCTCCTTTGGACACTGCTGTGTCGTTCTGTTGAGGGCTCATCCTGCAGCCGAAAACTTGTGGCGAAGGCGAGGGCACGGGCTGCTTGTCTGCCAGAAGCCGTTTCCTGGTCGGGCAAAAGTAGCCCGGCCAGCAACGACAAACTGAAAAGATGAGTCAAGGCATGCCAAGCGAGGCACGTTTTTGGACCCAACAGCCGAGGCACCAAACTTGGCCACAGCATCCCGGTACAGTGTCTGGACCGTCGCGTTGATGTTTTCTACGAAGGGCTGGCCGGCGAAGATGGCAGCGCCGAAGACGGATGTCCTCATTCAGCCGATGTTCGCATCCGGTCACTTTCCAGCTCTCCACATAATTTCACGTAGCTAGCGTGTTTCGTTAACTAACGAAATTTCCCCTTGACACAACAGCACTGCCTGTCAGGTCGCAACAGTAGAGGCACCCAAGCCCTTGACCTGACAGGATGACGTGCTAAATCCCAAAGCTTGAAATCCGCAAGGTCAGCGTTGAGGCCCTCGGCCAGTGTTTCTCTTCAGCAACAGACCTGCTGTCCACTTCCTCAATGCTCATTTCGACTAGATCCCACTGCATCCTGAACACTAGACCGACTCAACGCCAAAAGCCCCCGACTTCTTCGAGGAAGCCCTGGAATGCAAACTCGCAACCCGAGTGCGCGCACTGTTGCATGCAGCCGTGGAGCAGTGGCACGTCTGAGAAGCCTGCCTGAAAGAAGAAGCATGGTACGGGCCCGGGATGCAAGATTCCGGCGTGACTTTTGTACTTGGGGCTCTGCGGCTATGTATTTCGAAAACTCGAAGCCTAGCAAAACAACACAAAGCCTTAACCAAAAACGTCAAGGACCCACGGCCAAGCCCCCTTCGTCTTCTCTAAGGTCGCTCACTGAGATCCGGCGGTCCGGCACCCCAGACCCCGAGCCGTTGCATCCAACCCCTGACCGTGGAACCATGAGCCCGATTCCCTGAAGCCCCAAGCCCGAATGCCCGGAAAGCCCCGAATTCGCTGCGATAGTCAATAGTGCCGAGGAACCATCGCATCCAGATCCGCAGCTCTCCTTTCCAAAGAAATGGGCTTAGGATCGTGCTTTTGAGGTGAAAGATATGGGATACGATGCCAAGAAGACGCATGCTGCAACACAACTCAAACCTATGTCGGCTGAGTCTCTGCGTGAGCTTGCGCCAGAATTGACCGCCACCCCAGAGCCTCAGGGCATGAATGCACTGCTACACCTCGAAACCCTCTCCTGCTCAAGCCCACCGTTCTCGATCCATTGAACTCCGAAACTACGGCCGAGCGCTTGTAGCACATGCACACATACATGCTTAATACTTACAAAAGCACCTTGTACAGGTACGTGCAAAAGAATGAGAGAGTTGCGAGAGAGAGGCGAGTGAGACAGATAGTGAGAGCAAGAAAGAGATTCGTGCTTCGGTGTCATTAGCATCGTCGGTATTGCACCCACATGATTAGCACCATTTTCTTCTTGGTATCGTTCGTGCGACTGGAACCAAAACACACGTGCTTAAAGTGATGTAAATAAGGCCGTAGACCAGGGATAACATGATAGCGAGCAAATTGCTGATTTTGAATGTGCGGCAACTGCTACATCGATGTGCGCATGAGCACTTAGTGACTTAGTGCTGTCTTTGTCTTAGCATCGTGACGGCGCCTTTGAAACAGGGCGTGGCTTTTTTGTTTGTATTTTTCCTCTTTTTTATTTTGTTGAAGTGTTTTCTTGGATTTTTTGTGGGAAAACTCTGTTTTCTTACGGATTCTAAACCATTTCCTTAGGTTTTGCTTGGTTTTTCCTCGTGAAAGCATTATTTCCTACGGATTCCGTGTAGGAAATAATGTTTTCACGAGGAAAAACCAAGCAAAACCTAAGGAAATGATATAGAATCGTACGAGCGGTATGCAAATCAGTGTGGATGGCATTGTTGACTGCTCGCCCATGGGAGGTGCAGCTTGTAATTCAGGGTGGATTGGCAATCGGTTCAACACAATGAAAAGGAGCCATCGCACTTTTTCAGATACGATCTCGGGAGCGCGTGTACCGGACGCCCCGCTCTGGGCTGCGGTCTCCGTGGTCTCTCGCTGGAGAGACCACAGCGAGGGAGCGGTTCCGCCGCGCCTGGCCAGAACACGTACAACAAGGGCAACGTCACAGCAGTGTCTGTGTTCGGCAGTGACGGCTGCAGCCGGAAGATGTTGAAAAGCCCTGAAAATCTCGAATGAAAATTGTAAAACCCATATCTGCACCAACGGCAAAGCCTCTCCATGGCACGCGCAGACGGGTGCCCCACCTGAGAGTGTTCTCAGCCGTTGCATCGAAGAGTGATTGGGGCTTTAACATCTCTCCTCAGGACCCAAACCTAGGCCCAGAGAAACCGCCACGTCGCCGCCCGACTTGGCGCGCTTCTCTATTACATATTCGTGGCTTCTGAGTTGCAGCTTGAAGCCGTCTCGGGAAAGCTTTAGGGCTTGGAGGGACTTCGGCTTTGAGAATTTACAGGAAGACCTAACCAAAAGACACACAATGCTTCTATGCTATGTACTATGGCTTTGTGATTTTCACTTTTGTCTTCTCGCAGTCGCATAAATCTGTTTAAGGTTTGACTTCACAGTTAAACAGCAAAACCTGCACGTCGAAAAGTCTGCCAAGCCTTCCGAGGATCTGGCATTTGCCCTCCATGGGCCTCCAGGATTTCTAATGGTTTCGGGCCCCGCCGTTGCTAGAGTGCAAAACCCCAAGCTGATGTCTAATTAAATGAGGGCGTGCATCCTCCACCATGACACACTTCGGTCTCCCCCATCACTCCGAGCCCGAGTTTGCTTTTTGGTGCGGTTCGAGGCTCGGGGTCCAGGTTTTTGGTCTTGTATGCTCCGCGGGCCTGGCCTGTCATGCCCGGGAATGATATTTAAGGGCGCGAAAACATCATGTGGAGCACTGAAGAAGTAGTGTACGAATCCTTTGCATATGAGGGGAAAGGCCTGCGCGCGCCCCTTTGGCAACCCAAAGAAGACTCTGGAGGCACCTGGCCCCTGGAGACTCATGATGATCGCAGGGTGCCCTAAAAAACATGTGGAGCAGCTGGTTGACGAAAAGCTTCAATGAAGTGAATGGCTTCAGAATGGCATGGTGCCTTGCATGAGGGTGCAACAAGCATGACAATACGCAAGGTTCCGCCCGGACTTCCACAGCCTCTCAAAGTCCAGATTTGACCAAGTTTACCAGGGGGGTTCAACAACTCCCATGCACGCACAGCATCAGACACTGACTGAGTGTATCAGCATTCGCATCTTCACTGAGCGACCGTCAAAACTCTATTCGTGGAGCCTAGGTTGCGCAATAGGGGGCATCGCTGCTCGCTGTTAGCTGTTCCCCTTATTTTGCAGGCTTTACACTGGCTTTTGGACCTTTAGCGGCAAATGTCCTCCCAAGCTTGCCTCCCATAAGTCAATTCCCCCCGTGCGTCCTCCAGGAGCACGTGGCAGACTTGCCAATGGCCCTGCGCTGCTCCTTCCGGCATGAAAAAAGAAGCAGAGAAACGTAGTCTGTTTGGATTTGTTGGGTGAAGGGTTGTCGTCGAAGTTGAATTATTAACATCGCAATAGAAACATGTCGAAACAGTATTGTCCAGTGCAGCCTAAGAACAGGGTCGGTAGCAGTTCGCGGCGAGACCAGTGTAACAATAGTACAGAGTGGTGGGGTGAACTCGCGCACTGGAAAAAGCTGACCCTCCTAAACCCTGTCAGCCTTGGCGGACTTTAGGCCTGCGCGGGCGGCCTTCCGCTGCCGCTTGCTGTGTGATCCCAAAGGAGTGTTCTTAAGGACACTTTGAGCAGACAACGCTTGTTGCCAACACCCCGGCCACTACATCAGCAAGTGCCGTAGACTTCAATTTTGTAGTTTAAGTTGCTTTCCCGGTGCATGATGTTGATGTTTGTTGCGCCATGCAGAACGGTGAGCGAGTGAGCTGGTTCCGCACCGGCAGCGCCAGCTCCCTCACAGAACAGAAAGATAGGGACACAGAGAGAGACAGAGACAGAGAGACACGGACAAAGACAGAGAGAGGCAAAGAGACGCCACAAGGGGCTTCTTGGGCCCAACTTGAAGCACGCGCATCAACTATCGTCTGGCTCCAAACTGGCGGCACGTTTTTCACATAGGAACTGCTGGTTTTGTTAGGCCTCGGCACAACACGGTCACACATGCGCTATGTGCTGCTTCTGCAGGATTGACGGAACGAGCTTCCGCTGCAGCGCAATTCAACTTATGGAACTAAAAATCTTTGAGCACGAGAGGGCCCCTCCAGTCCGACTTGCTCCAAAACCGGCTGCAGTACGGCAATGCAGCGCTGCCATTCGCCGGCCTGGCAAGTTGGTCACACATGATGCTTGGACCCTTTAAGACCTCAAGTGCCCAAATGATTAGTGGGCCTTCAAGTGCAGCTCCGCAGCAGCCAGGCGGTCCTCCAGGTGTCACAAGTGTGGGGCCACTGCTCGTGGCTCAAGGCTCACGTCCGAGGGTCATGCACAACTCAAGGACTCCCTCTACCCGGGCCTTCCCAAATCGGCTGCTTCAGGGCATATGGGATCCTGGTGCCCTGGTCGCTGACCCTATATACTACATAGCCTATGTATATATTCGACAACTACTTCAATTACGACGACGACTGTTACTCCTCCTCTGTCCGTCCTTCCTATCTTCCATTCCTTCCTTCCTTCCTTCCTTCCTTCCTTCCTTCCTTCCCTTCCTTCCTTCCTTCCTTCCTTCCTTCCTTCCTTCCTTCCTTCGTTTCGTCCTTCCTTCCTTCCTTCGTTCCTCCTTCCGTGTTTCCTTGCTTTCTTCCTTCCTTCCTTCCTTCCTTCCTTCCTTCCTTCCTTCCTTCCTTCCTTCCCTCGTTTCGTCCTTCCTTCCTTCCTTCCTTCCTTCCTTCCTTCCCTCCTTCCTTCCTTGCCTTGCTTCCTTCCTTTCGTCCGCTTCAAGAAAAGAAAGGAATAGAGGTTGTCCTACGGAAACCGAAGGACATGGCACAGAATCCTTCCAAAATGTAATGAAACATGCTTAATTTTTTGGAAAACCAATGAAAACACCAAAAAAAAATACAAAAAGAAATACTAAAAGAATGGGCCATCCTTTCGAAACTACTGATGCACCGCTGCTACACCTAAATGTCAAAAGGGATGGAGGTTCCGACACCAGATCTTTAGGTTTGTGGGCGTGTGCGCTGCGCTGCTCTTGCTGTGGCGCCGTACCTATTTCAGATCTCAAACTCGCGCTCTGGCCTGGGCCCTGGTGTTTGAAGAGGGAAACCTAAAGCTTCTGGGTTTCTCACGTCTCCAAGGGCTCTCGTTCGAGTGAAGGGTTCCCGCTTTGAGCTTCCAGGGCTGACCCGAGTCCTACGATCAATAAGGTGCTTGTTAACCAGGCTATTTTTCCTCCACCAAGCGTAAAAAAAAGAGAGCAAGAGGCTTGAACCAAAATGATCCGATTACACAGACACAACAGAACACCGGGTAGGCGAGGGTACTTTAGGGTAGGGGCGGGTTAGGAGGTTGTAGGGGGCACGGTTCGGGTTGAGCTAGGTCAGGTTAGGGTCATGGAAGGGTGGGGGAAGGGTGGGGGAAGGGTAGGAGCGGCGGGATCGGGTAAATTAGGCTAGGTTGGAAGGGTAGGCCAGGGTAGGGTTGGGCAGTTTAGGATAAGGGTTGGGGGTTTGGGGTTTGGCATAGCAAGCCGGGCTTTTGGTGAAGAATGCACCACAGAGTGTCCTTCGGGTCCTACAATCCGAACCTCAACCTCAACCCAACAGAGGAGCAAAATATGTCGGCAACTTCGACCTACACCCGCTTCCCCGGCAAGATCCCCTCGGGCTCGCAATAGGACCAGCGACCGGTGGATGCAGCTCGGCGTGGCATAGTCCCTTGCATTGCAGGTAGCGTTGCTGATGGGACGACCTTTGAATGTTTGGGACCTTCAGCCTTCACGGTGAGACACCACAAGGAATGGAGCTGAGACTCTCGTCCCCCAACCCCACCACGAGTCTGCGGCCAGAGCACTTCTGATAGAGAAGCTCTAACTCATTGCCCACAGCGACCTTTGCAGCCATGCCGACTGCCGCTGTCAGCTTCATAGAGTCTCTAACATGAGGCAAAGGGGTTAATGCGCATGGTTTAGGATTCAGACGCTTACTGTATGAACGTCTGTGGCTTCAGCTCATGAATTTACAGCCGCAGGTGTTCCTCCCGTGCGATTTCTTGTGGTGTAGGGTCCAGCAAACTTGATCTCGAAGCGGTGATTCTGAGGATCAGAACCTCGCAGGTAACCGAGCCACTCCCATCACGTGGTCGCGGCCCAGCTTCTGCAAAAGCTCCTCTTCGACTGAGGGATCACAACGGAGGATATACGTTGATTCAGCATGAGGCCGCCTACGCCTCTCAGACTTGAACCTCTCTGTCTAAACCGCACACATAATGAAGAATCTGATTAAACCGCTTCCCGCCAGAGTTGGATCCTGTGGAGCCATATGCCGCTTTGTAATCGAAGCCTGTACTCCCCAAATCCTGCAGCCTAAGATGGCCTCTCATCGAAATTGCTTCTTACGAAAGGAGCATGGAAGCCAACTCTAACACTTGTGATCCTACTATGAAACACACTACGAGTGCCTGAACCGCGTGATGGCCAAGACTCCACATGTGCCTGGCATCCGCTGGATTTTGAGGGCCACCAAAAGCCTTAACTGACCTCCTTAAGCCCTCAACCACAAGCCTAAACCCAAAAGTTCTCGACCGTCACACCCTTACAAGCAACCCCCATATCCTTGACCAAGCGCCAGTCTCGCTCGTCATCTGCCTCGTCGCATGTGATCTGCGTTCCCATCAGGACCTGGCAAGACTGAGTCTGAAAATGCTTGAGGTTTCGTGGCTTGGGGGATTCATAACCGTTTCGAGTTCTGTGGCTGAAACGTTTGGCTGGGCTTCTGTGGGCCATGTATGCATCCTCCGGAAGCAACCACTTGGGTCATGGCTTGTCGGCCTGCATCCCGTAACATCGCTGCAGCTGTCTCTGCTGGCTTTCTGCAATCGGGGATGCCGACCTTCCGCCTTTACGCGATCAGAGGCTTGTTGTGAGGGTGTCACAACAGAAATGAGGATCGGAATGCAGGCCTAGCTCCCTCGCAGGACAGGAGAGCCCTGCCGGACACGCGGCACCCTTCGACCCGGACAAGATCCGAAAGCAACCACGGCCCTGCCTCCATATCCCAGTGAGCCGGAGCTTAGGCTCAATGTCTCACACTTTAGTTTCGGGGCCAGCTTTGGGACAGAACATGCCGTACACCTTCGGCCCAAAACCATAACAGCACATGCCTTGGGCCAAAATAAGCAAGTCCTCAAACCCCCAATGAGGGGCCCTACATGAAACCTGAAATCCTAAGTCAACTCCCATCTCTGAACCCGAAACCCTCAGCCCCAATCGGGACCGAAAACCTTATGACAGAGTGCATGAAGAAATATAGCCAACCATGCAACGTGACGTAGTGTAGAAGAAAAATAAACTCCTTGAGACCCATGGCCTTGATGCCGTTGGCTTTCACCACATCCAGGAGCTGCGCCCAAGCCGCTTCTCGGGCGCCATCGGGCCAGGCCTCTCCCGAATGGGGCTTTGGGCTCCATTTAGGGTAGAGAACTTCGGGCTGTTGGCATTTTCGATGCGTTTCGCAGGGTTTAACTGCTATTGCTATTGGCTGTAGGATTTCTTGTGGGTCTAGGACCCTGGGATGAAAAGGTTTAGAATGTAGGGAGGGTGGATCAGGGCCTATGCAGAGAGTTCCCCGTACTCTTTAGGGGAAACTCAAGAACTGCAGGGTCTTCCAATCTCTGAGTCTTGAGGATGCAGGGCATGGGGGAAGCTTTCCCCAAACCTGGCTCCTATAAGGGTTAATCATGAGAATGGCGTTGTGGGCTTTGTTATAGCATGCTGACAAAGGGACTGTAAACAAGGCTACAAGTCTGTAAGGGACAACCATTGCACATCAGCGCGATCAAAGCGATAATTGCGGGCATGCGGCCATGTCCCACGCTTTGAAGAGCCGGATGGACGTCAGCTTTTCCTGCGGATGGGTTTGCGGAATTTCGGTGAAGAAATCCGTAGCTTTGTACGTCGTCTCCGTGCTTCTGGAGTCGCAAGGGTTTGGGTTTGAGGTTGTGGCTTTATTTGCCGTAAACTGAACAATGCAACTCGAGGCTCAACCCGAAACTCGAAGCTACACACTCACCATGCACAACTCTTGCGCGATATCTCGCTCACCGACCTGCGATGTGCTCGCGCACCTGGATGCCTGAAGAGCTATTGGTAACATCATTCCTTGGGGTTCCTGACCATGTTTTGTCAAATAAAGACTCGCGAAACCCTGCACCGCTGTAATCATCTCCGGAGCCACCAGACACGATGCTTTGCCTCAAGACACATCTATCCAGAAAGCCCTCAACAGGATCCAGAAAGCCAACAGCCTGTCCTGCGTGTTGGGCCAAACTCCTTCGTTGCAGTGCTTGCTGGCGTTTCAGGGAAACCAGGGTTTGAGATTCATTGAAAATTGGTAGAAAAGCATGAGGGTCTGAACGAAACCGACTCCCCCACTAAAACTAACTCGAAGCGCCAACCTCTCCCAACCGAAGCCTACTGCTGCCAGGAGTCTTGGGATGCCACCGGAGCATTTCTGAAAGGTCGTGTCGTCTATAGCCAGACCTTGACAAGTGCTGGTGATTAGCTTTGACACCATAGCCATGGCCACAGATGTGGTCAGTGCTCGACGCGCCTCTCTGCCACTTTAATTCATCTTCCGTGTGGGAGCGTCACAAGTATTTGGACCCAAAATTGTACATCAACCTTCTGCTGAGGACCCGAATCCAATCAGGGACGAGAACCCAACACGGCAGTCTTGCTCAGTAGCGCTTATTGTTCGGGCTGAATTGTGCTTTACGAGTTCTAGCTTAGAAGACAGCCGCAAGTCTGAAGCTCCATGCTTGTGGAGGCAACTTGCGGGGCTTCTTCCGCCACTGCACTGCAGAAGCAAGAATCGTAGGACTTAGACGACTTAAGGCTCTGGTGGGGACCCCTCTTAGCAGCCCTATTACCTATGATGTCTCCCTGTCCCGGCCTTTGTGATCTGCTTTGACCATGCGCGACAGGAAGAGATCGCTGTCGCACTTGTAAGGCTCTGCCTTAGCTAGGGACCCCAAAAAGCAGGTGCGAAGGGTCCCATTCGGCTTGGGACCGTTTCAGCGAGATCCTACTGCTTCTGTGGTTTGAAGAGCTCTGCTCGTCGAGGCGACAGCTTCGACAGGCCCTACGCTCTAAAGCTGGGACTCCGCCCGGCTACGAAGGGAGTGGGCCCGTTCCCGGCACCATCCCCGGCGAGGGCGATGGCCACAGACGCGCCGACGGCCGACAGAAGTGCAGCCGCGCAGGCACAGAAGGCCTGGAGTGTGGCCAGCCCGAGGTCCAGTGATACTCAGAGTGACTCGGCGGCTTTCAAGTTCAAGTTCGGGATTTACACAGTCTGGGTGGAGGTTCGGGCTGTGGGCGTAAGGTTGGCGAGACAAAAGCACCCAAAGTGCACTCGCCACAAGCTCCAGGCATGGAGGGAAAAGGATCAATCCGGGACTTTCCAAGGCCCTTCACTGCCACATGCTGCTGCACTCAACCACAATCTGGGGACACTCCAGAACTTCAGGCCTGAAAGGCAAGACTCCGATGAACCCCTAGAGACGTTGGAGGACTTAACAGCCCAAGAGGCGCCACACTGGCAGACTCCCCGGCGGCCCTCGGAGGGAGGTCGGAGCTCTGCGAAAGCGGAGCGACAGATCCGAAAACTGCTCGATAGCGGATCCGAGAGACAGTGGGCCAAAGCGAAAATCCTTCCACAGCCGGGCACTTCTTTGAGGCTCGCACCGAAGTTGGCCTTTGTGGCGAAGCCAACGGCTGCTGCTGTTGGCGCATGGCGGGCAATGCAATGCAGCGCCGGAGAGGGTTTGAGGGAGATGATTAGGGGGTGTCAACAGGTGTCAACTGTGTCTGCAGCTGCTTCTCTTAACGAAGCCTGGGTGCTTGGAGACTTGATAAGAAAGGAGAGAAGAGGTTCGCGAAGCCAGAAGCATTGCACTGATCACACCTCCAGAACCCAAAAAGCAGACGACGAAGCCCCCCAAACAAATCAAAACTGATGCTTTTTATCAGTGCTCTCGTCGTCTTATCGTCAAAACGTTTGTTGCTTCCACTTCAGCAACTCACACCTGCGTAGACCATCATCATCATCATCATCATCATCATCACCATCATCATCGTGATCAACGTCGTCACCATCATCATCATCACCATCACCGGTTATCATCACCAGCATTATCCTCGCCATCACCATCATCATCACCGCGCGATCACGCCGATGGTGATTATGATGTGATGCTGGTGATGATGATAGACAGATAGATAGATAGATAGATAGAAAGAAAGAAAGAAAGAAAGAAAGATAGATAGATAGATAGATAGATAGATGGATAGATAGATGGATAGATAGATAGATAGATAGGTAAACAGATATGATGACGGTGTTGATGATGACGATGATGACAATAGATATGATGGTAGTGGATATGATGATGATGATGATGATGACGGGGAGGATGGATGATAATGACGATGACGATGATGATGATGATGATGATGAGGGGGAGGATGAGGGGGAGGATGAGGGGGAGGATGATGGTGAGGATGATGATGATGATGATGATGATGGTCATGATCCGGCTATTCCTAGTTTTTACCGTCAGTACAGACAATGACAACCAATGCTACCGCATTGGCACAGCTAACCTGGCGACTGCCACGGCCACTACTATGGCCATTGCAATACCGTCACAATTGAATTGATCGTCAGTTTGGGTAAGATGCACCTCACATTGATCTCACTCCAGAGCCAACACGCATGATCCCCATAGTCGGTACGATCAGTACATATTATATCATCAGAACGTAGCTGATTGCCATGGCGTGGTCAACATGGCTTGCGGATGTCAGAGTCATCCAAAGCTCATCCACGACGACCACCGTCACCATCGTAATGTCTGTCATCACTACCGTCATCGTCATCACTGTTATTTTTAAGGTTATCATCCTCCTCCTCATCATCATCGTCATCGTCGTCTTCATCCACCTGACCGTCAGCAACCCAACCCCTACCACGTAACCTTGCAGCTTCAGCTTGACAGCCCTAGCTTGGGCCTCCCTCTCGATGACGCCATTGTTGGACCGGTCGGCCAGCCGGAACACGGCTAGGCTGCGCTCGACCTACATAGACTTGCTTGTTGCCTTTTTTCCGTCGGATGGAAGAACAGACAGGAAGCCACGACTTGCCCCACAATTGCGAGGAAGGCACGGGGTTAGACCATCAACCAACGCGGCTTCGTAGCCTCGTCTTCACTGCAGCCATACTGGGCGCTTAGGCGGCGAATGATCGAGGGGCTCTGGGCTCCTTCGAACAAAGACGCGTGGATCTTCTTTTCTTGCACTGTATTGAGAAGCTTGATCAGCGTCTCGGGCGTGAGGTGGAGAGTTGGTGGTTTGAGCTGGGTTTGGCTTTCTTTAGGCCTGCTGCTTGGGCTCAGATTCAATGCAGCCTGCTTGCAGGGAGCAGGTACCGGTGCTCAGAACTGTAGCAAAAGACAACAGTGCTAGGAGGAGCAATGAGGCACAAAACCTCGCAGCAGCCCCCCTAATTGGACCAAAGAACTCCTCAGTCAACTGGTCACAGGAGATTGGTGTGGCGTCGATGTGGGGTGAGGGGGTTTGATGCTCGGGTTGGGTTTGGCACCCCTTGGGATTTGCCAGGCAGCTCGGAGCCCCTGTAAAGCCCCCAAGGCCCGGAGCCCCAAGGCGAGTGCATGCCGCCTTTGGAGGAAGATGAGCGCAGAATCTGCCTGCGCATCTCAAAACATGCTATCTCCAAGCACGCAAGCCTTGCGTTCGAGTTCGAGGCAGGCAGGGAGTTGGAGATCGGGTTCGATTTGCGAAAATGTTGGGCCTTGGCCAAGACCTCTGAAGTGCTGAGGCACCAAGGAAACATCTCTGAATTCGCTTTGAAATCGCTTCCGGCCACAACTCCACGTCCTTCCAGCTAACACAGCTGAGGCGGTGCACGAACATAACTAGAGAACAACGGCGTGCTTGCACAGTAAAACCTTCGAGATACATACAACTTCGCTGCACTACACCTGTCGAAAACTGCAGGTGTGGAGGCTCGACAAGAATAACAGAGGCCAAGTGGGAGAGTCTGGAACTTACGATCAGGGGCTAGGCGGTGGGAATCTTTGTGGGACGCGAGAACTTGCCGAATGCGTCTAATCCAGCGGCCTTTTTCACAGCGTCTTCAACTGGAGGTATGAGACTGGTCTTTTTAAAGGGTTGTAGGGAGATGCCCCACCGTGAAGGAAGCACCACATCGGACGAGACCGCGAGCTGTAAAACGAATCATCGAATGTTACATGTAGCTTGGTTTTCAAGTTCTGCCTACACCACTGGACTGTCGGCTCAACCCTAGGTCCTGATGGAACTGGGATTCAACGCTTCTGGCTTAAACAGGGCTATAGGAAGCAGTAGGGCTTGGAGGATTTGCCAGAGCTTTGACGAGTCACCGGACTGTGCGAAGTGCGAAGCAATGCACCTTCCTTCTCGCCAGGGGCACGCCCTTACAACCTTTCAGATGGAATATGAGACTTATTCGCACGCAGCACGCGGATTCGGATGGCACCTACCCTCTGCGCCTACCAATGTACGCACACTTATCCGATGGTCAAAGTCTGAGCCGATCAGGACCTTGATGCCGCAGCTGAGTGCGTTTTGGTGTTTTCAAAGGATTTGGTGGGGGTCATCAGTCTTGCCTGGGTTTTGGAGAGCCGGGTTCTGGTCTGTCTGCTAGGGATGCTAGGGGTTCCCGTGTTGATCTCAGAAGCTCCAACCCCTGGTTCCAACGCTTGGCCGCGCTCCGCATGCGACAGCCTCAGTCGCAGGGATCCTGAACAGAGCCGAAGCTGTCATCAGGCACCCTGCAGAGGCATTGCAGAGTTGAAAGTTGCGCAGTGTAAAAAATTCTCATACCAGAACCATGACACCAAAAAAAAGCAAGCAACACCCCACATCCATGATTTCAAGCAGTTTAGCAGACCGAACCGGTTGAGACTTCTGCCAGCAAGATTTAGCGAGCAGCATCTTTGAGTCTCACTGCTCTGACATATTTCAGATTATTTCAAGGATCCGAGCGGTGGCCGCAACAAAGAAGGGAACTCGTCTGAGAGTCGTGCGTCAGAGCTTTGGGGTACCATGATCTAAACCCGGAGCTCTCCAAGCTAATACCTGTACGGGGGCCTTACCGGCCTTACCAGCTGAAGCAAGGCTGTAGTATGATTGTCTTAATGAGCTAAGGCATGATGTTGGTAATTACCCTGGCCCGTCTGTTCTTCCTAGGATGCAATGCTGCAGAGGCTGCCGGCAGTAGGACTCCGAGCAAGGTGTTTGGTGACGGTATCTTCTCCGGATTGGAACTACACCGGACTTGAACATGTTGCGTGGCACCGTTCGAAGATTGCTCCCAACAGCCAGATAAGGCGTGGGGAGCACAGTAAAAAGCTTTGGCTGGCAGGAAAAGTCAGTATGAGATTATTTCGAGCATGCAGGTGGCGCATGTTGCTGCAAATGCTGCGGCTTTCATGTACACGGAAACGTTGGCAGCAGCAATTGCTCACTCATCATTCTTTAAACCCGACATGCGGTCTCCACACGGCCTCAGCCGTGGTCCGTGTCTCACCACAGTGAGACGCTGATCTCCTTGGTCACCACGGCACAGAAAAAGCCGCTCTGGAAGTTGGCCTCCGCGAAGAGCAGAGAATTCGTTGTGGGCTTGGGTGGTCTTTCGAAGGCCTCGGCCATGGAACCCCTCGGAACACCGTCATGACCATGACTGGATGGGACTTGCGAGTAGCCCCTACACCGACCTGCGGAGCCGACATCCCAGAAAGTAGATGAGGTCAACGCTGCATTCCCCAACCCCGCGCCTGCGCCGTCAGATCGAAAAGACCATCCAAGCACACCTCCGCGAAGCCCACAACACCTGGCACAAAAACACGGCGATCACAGCACGTAATCTCAGACTCCCCGCAACGTCCTTTGGAGATGTTGGAGGTCGGAAACGCAGACAACATCCAAAGACGCGCTTCTCGCGCGTACAAGTGCCGACGACAGCTGCTACCTCCCACACCTACGAGGAGTAGGACGACGCCTCCTCTTGTCCCTGCTGCCCCCGACTTCACAAAGCCCGATAGCTTTCGCACCTTCCGGGGCTGAGACCACGAAGTGCAAGCGCAAGGTGTTCAAGTCCACTGTCAATGTCAAGCCTGAGGGTCGCTTGAAATCCTGCTGCATTGGCTTGGAAGTATAGAATTGCTTGAAGAATGAAGGTTTGGTGCCTGTTTAGACGTCAGGTCCATCCGAGACGTCCAAGGCACCAGAGCCCTCGACAGAAGCTGATTTTGGCTCTTACCGAAACGCCCTGAGCAAAGTCAGGAGGTTCTGTTTGGGTGCAGATCTGAAGGCTTGAGTCCTCTGCCAGCACAGGAAGCTTAACGTTGCGTTTGGTTCTGGCCAGGTGCTGTCGGAGGCATCTGAAGCAAACCCCAATGCTCAGGGGGATGGCTCCCGAGGTCCATCTATCTTTCGCTTATCTTGAACTTAAACCCTTCGCTGAAATACCTCGATCTTGCTCTGCAGTGATATTGGGCCTGCAGCCTTCAGGGATCTTCAGGGTTTTGAATCCTGAACTTGTCAGCACTGATGCACTTTCTTCGCAGATGCTGCCTTGTGCCTTCGAAGATTCAACACAGCAGAAACTGCTGCAACTGCTGCACTGTGCTAACATCGCCGCCCGAGGCGGCATCGCCCCAAGCCACGATATATCCGTCACTAAGGACAGCCGCGAATGCGCTTTCTGTTTTGTAAACCTGCTGCACATTCTTCAGCTGGTTCTGCACGGCACTGCTGTCGCCACCGCGCACAGCATCTCCCCAGGTCACAACAGACCCATCGACAAGAAGAGCAGCAAAAGCGCTGCCGGCACTGCGAACGTACTGGACGTTCTTGAGCTGATCCCGCACAGCACCACTGTCACCACCAGCTTCAGCACCACCCCACGTCACAACAGATCCATCGCTCAGAATGGCGGCAAAAGCGCCGCCAGAGCCTTTGATCTGCTGCACGCTCTTCAGCTGATCCTGCACGGCACTGCTGTCACCACCGTCGTCAGCGTTACCCCAGGTCACAACTGATCCATTGCCAAGAACAGCAGCAAAAGCTTCGCCTGCACATGTGATCTGCTGCACGTTTTTGAGCTCATCCTGCACCTCACTGCTGTTACCGCCTTCAGCATCACCCAAGGTGACAACAGATCCATCACCGAGAACTGCAGCAAAAGCGCCGTAATGAGAGCTATGGATTCGCTGCACATTTTTCAGCTGATGCTGGACAGCGCTGCTGTCACCACCTGCATTAGCAGCACCCCAGGTCACCACGCATCCATTGTCAAGAATGGCGGCAAAGGCATCGCCAGATTCGCACAGCTGTTGCACATGTTTCAGCTGGTCCTCGACCCCACTGCTGTCGCCGCCCGCACCAGGATCTCCCCAGGTCACAACAGATCCATCGCACAAGACAGCGGCAAAAGCGCCTCCAGAGTCTTTCATCCACTCTACATTCTTCAGCTGATCCTGCACAGCACTGCTGTCACCACCCTCACTAGCATTGCCCCAAGTCACAACGGATCCATCGCCAAGGAGGGCAGCGAAAGCAGAGTCAGAGGCAACAGTCTGCTGCACATTCTTCAGCTGGTCCTGCACAGCACGGCTGTCACCACCGCACGTAGCATCACCCCAGGTGATAACAGATCCGTTTCCCAGAATAGCAGCAAAAGCAGTCAGAGGCAACAATCTGCTGCACATTCTTCAGCTGATCCTGCACAGCAGAGCTGTCACCACCGTACGCAGCATCACCCCAGGTGATAACAGATCCGTTGCCCAGAATAACAGCGAAGGCCCTGGTGGACGAGTAAATTTGTACTCTGCTTGAGTACAGCAATGTCAACGTATTGCCATTGCGCACCCGGGCTTTCTTGATCGGTGCACATTCACCAAGGACTCCAGAGGAGTCCAGTAGCCGCCCTTCTCCGACTCCGAGTGAGGTCTGCGCCCGTCGTTTCAAGGTTGCCACATGCTCATCAGGGCCTGCTTGCACAGTGGTCGTCTTGCCACTGATCAGTGCAATGTCGACAACAAGCGACATGTCACACGAATCCTGGAATTAGCAGGGCCCTCAATAAACCTGTACAATTACATGGCAAGCCGGGTAACGAGACCACAAGCTGATTCAGGGTTTCAGGTTCAGAGCTAGCAGCTAGAGTAGGCTGTTCAGGGGCGTTGATCGGGCACATGCGCACGCGCACAGGCACACACACACACACAAACATGCGAACACACACACACACAAAAGGACAAAAAAAAACATAGCTGACAAGCCACACCATGAAGTCTTTGAAACGATGACGATGATGTGATGACGGTGATGATGACAATGATCATGATGATGATGGTGGTGATGATGATGATGATGAGGAGGAGGAGGGGCAGGAACAGTAGGAAGAGGAGGACGATGATGATGATGATGGATGATGGTGATGGTGATGATGATGATGATGATGATGTTGATGATGATGATGATGGTGGTGATGATGATGATGTTGATGATGATGATGATGATGACCATGATGATGTTCATGATGATGCTGATGATGATGATGGTGATGATGATGATAATGATGATGACGGTGACAGTGATGGTGATAGTGATGGTGACGCTGATGGTGACGGTGATGGTGACGGTGATGGTGACGGTGATGGTGATGCTGCTGATGATGATGACGATGATGATGATCCGATGATGGTGATGATGATGATGGTGGTGATGATGATCACTGATGGTGGTGGAGGTTCGACGCGCCCAGAGTCTATCTGGTTTACATCTGCCTTTCGCTTTATCTGCGCCGAGACGCAAAGCCCCACCTCCAAAGGTGGCAGTTGTGCCTGGCAATGATGGAGGAGCAGCAGCAGTCGTCGTCGTGGTCGTAGTCGTCGTAGTAATAGTCGTCGTCGTAGTAGGGGTAACGGTGGTGGTAGTGGTAGTGGCAACGGTGGTGGCGGTGGTGGTAGTAGTAGCAGTAGGAGCAGTAGGAGCAGGAGGAGGAGGAGGAGGCAGGAGCACTAAAATATGTATGTATGTATATGTATATATATATACTACTTCAGTGCAGGCATATAAAGTAGCAGTAGTTGTGGCAGTGGCATTGGCAGTGCACGTGGCTGTGACGGTGGAAGTGGTGGTGGTGGTGGCGGTGGTGGTGGTGGTAGTGGTGGTAATGGTGGTAGTGTTGGTAGTGGAGGAGCAGGAGCAGACAGGGCCGGGGCCGGGGCACGGGGGTCGGGCAGGAGCAGGAGCAGGAGCAGGAGTAGCAGGGGCAGTAGCAGTAGCAGCAGAACAAAGTAGCATTAGCAGTAGCAGCATTAGGGCCCCCTGGCTGAACCCATGAAGAAGTTCTTTTGGAAAAAGCGAAGTGCTGCGTTCAAAACTCCAGGATTTCCTGATCGAGTACTGCAAACCCCAAGCAGCTGCGCCTTCAGCTTGCGCACATTCTGACGGTCGCGAATGCAGATGACCTGGATCTTTTGGCTGTCCCGGGTGAGAGGCTGCAGCTACAGGTGTTGATCTGATCTGCTCCCCAGCTCTTTGGTTGGAGGCTTCATGGTGCAGGACGTCCTTTGCAAGCTTAGACCTTAGACCCTAGAACCCAGACGTGGTTGGCGAACGGTTTATTTACGAAGGCGACATATTCCCGGACAAGCTACATACCATAACCTCGCGACCTCATGCCCTGCTCCATTCCCAACCCCAAAACGAGTTGAACCAAAGCACCAAAGTTCATCTCTGCAACCGAACAACTGCACATGAAACCGCAATCCTGAAGGCCCGTAGTTTGATCAAGTTAAGGACTCGAGATACCACGTGCATGTATAATTACGTAGGATGTCAACCGCAATGCGTCTGAATTCTTTCCAAGGGTGACATCACAAGATGCTGCTGACATTATCTCGCGCATGTGTGTGTGTGTGTTGGTCACCCTCAGCGTGGACAACACATCCTCGTGCTGTCGCTACTGCTGCAGCATCAACTGGTGCTGCTTCTGCTGCTGCTGCTGCTGCTGCTGCTGCTGCTGCTGCTGCTGCTGCTGCTGCTGCTGCTGCTGCTGCTACTGCTGCTATTACTGCTACCGCTCCTGCTGACACTGCTGCTCCCACTAAGGCTGTCACGACGACGACGACTATTTACGTCTACTACGACGACGACGGCTACTGCTACGGATACGGGTATGTCTACGCCTACGACTACTGCTACTGCTACTGCTACTGCTACTGCTACTGCTACTGCCACTGCCACTGCCACTGCCACTGCCACTGCCACTGCCACTGCTACTGATACTACTGCTACTACTGCTACTATGCTGGTACATTGCTTTACATACTAAATACCACCACGAATACGACGCCGATGACGACGACCCGACGACGACGACGACTCGACGAAGACGACTATGTTCATCATTCTCTTATTGCCATCATCACAGCCACCTGGCCACAGCACCATCCGCAGGGGTCGTTGTCGATACTGTCACATCATGATCGTGGGACTTCTGTCGGAGTGTTGCTTCTGCTCTCCTAACTCGGAAAGAATAAGCCCGGCGAGGCATGACACACCGGAGCATGAGGCCCGGGCCCCTCGTTGGTTCAAGAAAACCGTGCGCATCTGTTGGATGTTGTTGCCTGGGACTCGAAAATCAATAGCTCTCACCAAACTGTGCGCACTCCTTCGAAACATGATTACCTGGAGCAAGAATTATCAAAACCCCCGGCACAGTACATTACAACATGGAGTCGCTTGGACTAGCTGCACACATTAGGTGTATGGTGTATAGGAAGCTTTAAACTTAGACTTAGGGGAGTTGGGGCTCGGAGGACTCAAGCACCCACGGACGTGAAACCTGATTTCTAAACAAGAGATGCACAGTCTCGAGTAGCTCCCCAACCCGTCAATCTCAGACAGACTCAAACACGTTGAGGCCCTGGCTGCAGACAATCGGGAGCTTCTGCAATTGTCGCTGTACTACCAAGGCTACCGGTACCGGTGTCAGAAGCAACGTGCACCCAAAACACACAGCGAGACTCATGCCCAACCCCTCCAAAACAAACCGCAAACCCAAAGGAACTTCAATCACCTTCTGCGAAAGGAGTCGCGGCGAACTTTCGAGTCGAATACGAAGCCTCCGCGGAGCGCAGTGGGTTTCGGCTGGAGGTCGGGTGAATAGTAGGGTTTGAGGATGTTTGAGGTTCTGTGTGTAGTTGTTGAATGCGGGAGAGGCTCAGAGCTTACATGGGACGATGTTGGGAGTGACGCTCCTTCGGGGCTTCAGGCTCGGTGGGCGCGAGCTTCGTTCCTTCTGGGACAGCAGGACGCCAGACCTGGTGAATCTAGACTGGAGGCCAGAAGCCTCCAAGAAGCCCTGAACTCCACAGACCCCATAACTCGAACCCCCAACCAACACTCGAAACCTCTTTCTGTCTTTCTGCCAGAGAATGCCCGTCTCCAGACCCGGCATCCCAGAAACTTGCATTTCCACCCAGCTGCCTGCTCCATCCGCCGCACCCAACTCCCCAGAGAGGATGGTGTACTGGTAGGTGTGCACACCTCTGACATAAATGCGCCAACGCTCTCCAAAACAACGACGTAAAGGGCCCGACTTGGGGTAAAAGCTCCTCCACTGCACAACAGGGACACAAGATCTTCGGAAATCGGGCATTGAGAAACTCCAGGGGTTGAGATGGGCTAAAAGGCTAAAGTTGGGATGGTTGAAGTGAAAACGGTTTTAGTCCAAGCACTGGGAAGTTGCCACGTAGAACGCCCTGGGCCCGAGAACCACTCAACCCTGAAACCCCCTCTAGGAGATCGGAGTCAGAACTGGCTCATGAAAGCCCGAAGTCCTCTTTAATAACAGGTCCGGGGCCATTATTAAGCATCGGAAGTGCCCACCGGTGGGGGATGATCCTCGGTGCCACAAAGCCTCGAGCATCAGGTTCTACGGCACAACCGATTCCACCCAGACCCAGAAGCCTTGCCTGTACGCCAATGCCAAAACCCCCAGCTTTCGAAATCTTGACCTGGAAGTGAAAAAAAAAACAGACACATCAAGCTCGCTCATGAACCCCGAAGACGAGCCGTACCCTGAAGTTATGGATAGGTGTTGTACACCGGCGGGGCCATAAGCCGAACTCTCCGAAACCTCATATCGTCACGATGGAGTCTTCGCGAGCTTCCTCACCAGAATGCATTCCTAAACCCGATGCGACTTCTGAATGTCCTCGCCTCGGCATCTGAGAGTCGAGTCGAAGACCATGCCTTCATGTGGTTTGTCAGAGAAGTCGAAGACTCTGCATGTTGAAGCACGCTCTAAGAGCAGCCGAGAGGCAGATGGAGCTAAGCTCCATGGGCATTCCGCGGTCGTTGATCACGACCTCTCTACGAGACGCCACTGGGCCGACCAGAGTTGCAAGCTAGGGTTGAGCTAGGTTGGCGCAGCTGAAGGGCACGCAGTGAACCTCTGAACTCTACGTTGGGGAGTCCTGGATGATGCAGCTTGGCAGCTGAATCGATAAGCTTCCTAGGCCGGTGCTTTACGGCAACACTGAAGCTGAGGAAACTCTTGAAGTCATGGCCCCATCCTGCAAGCAAATCAGCTTGAGTGACACAAGTCCAGCACTCAAGTCTTAACAACAACCACCGCCCGCCATCGACTTGACGAAACCCTCAAACCTTCCCTGACACCCCAAACGGTAAACTTCAAACCCAAACCGTGCAGCCGCCTTGCCTTTTGGCCACTCGCCGACTTGGTGAAGACGTGGCCGTCTGTCGAGATCGATCCCACCTCGCAATCGAGCACGGCTCTGGGCACATGCATGTGTGTATAACTAGAACTTGTATGTGTGCATGTGTATATACACATATATAGGTAGATAGATAGACAGACAGACAGACAGACAGACAGACAGACAGACAAATAGATAGATAGATATTGAAATGTATATATGAGCGTTTATTACGCATAGGGGGATGCCATGTGTATATATGTTCATGCAAGTATGCTTGTCTGTGTATGTGTGTGTATATATATATATACTAACACTAGCAGGCAAGCATGCACGCATGCATGCACATAATTCACATGCAACCGAACTCACGTGACAACTAGAGCTCTCGTGCACATGTATGCACAGGTATCAACCTTCTTCGCATATACTTACAAGAAGGTCCTGTGCATTAGTTGGCTTTGAACAGGACTTCCCGATTCACGGTCGGAAGATTTGTGCTTCTTGTTTGGATGGTTCAAGCATTTCGACAAGCTGTCGCGCAAGGCTTGCAAGGTCCTCTAACTGGTATGAAGCACTGCAATCCTGAACATGGCAGTTGTAGAAATATCACGAGGAAAACACTAGCAGCAGCAGCTGCAGCAGCAGCAGCAGCAGCAGCAGCAATAGCAGTAGCAGTGTTGGGAGAGAAGGAATTAGAACTCGTCCCTACAACGGCGGCATGGTAGTACTGAGACACGTCGCGTTTGTCGTTCTTGCAATACTGCAAGTGTAACTAGCTTCAAGTAGCTATGATGGCTGGCAAGGGCAATTGATTATCGTGCCGTGCGCTTCAGGCAAGCCACTGTGCTTGCTGACTTGTGCCAACGGCACGTCGAGTGCACGACACTTGTGTTCGGTGTGGCGGCGTGTTCCCGCTCCTCGGAGCACACAGCTGCACCGACAAACTGCACAGCAAATCCCCAGAAGCGGCAACCAGGAACGCAGTAGGACTCGAGTCTCCCTAGTCAGTTCTCTCTTCAGGCATGTCATGAAGTTACGGCTTTCATGTCCGGCTCCTCCCCCACCAAAAACAGCCCACATGTCATCCATGTATGCGCCTAGCTGAACCTGGTCTGAGCTCTTCGGGTTGGTGGAGGGTTTTTAATTGAAGAGGTTTGTCAATGAACATCGCCGTTCAAGTGATCTGAGCCTTCTTTGATCCGGCCTTCGAACCGTTTTCAGAAAGTGTTCGAAGTCCAGGTCAAGGTCCAGGTATCTGCTGAGCTGAGCCTTCTCTCAGCTGGTCTTCGAACATTCTTCATATGGCAAACTCCGGTTAGCTGCTAAACAAGTATTGCCACCGCAGCTGTTACGTGGCGAGAATGTTGCGAGAATGAACGTAGGCTTGTCTTTAAGAACGATGCTTAAGGCCTTAAGGCTTACCTTTGCACTGGTTACTGGCATGACTTCGGCTGTGCGTATCAATGGTTGTGTGCCTGCTTGGCTCAACGATAGTGCTACTGCTACTGGTCTGAGATAGAATTCTCCGAGAAAATGATTGTGGAACTCCGGTTCTCACAGCGACTGCGCTGCCTGGCCGTCGCAAGAGACGTACTAGGCACAGCTGCAGTCGTCGTCGTGGTGCTGACTTCCCAGCAGCAGAAGTCACAGTTGGAGTGCTGATGCACTAGTAGTGCTAGCAGACGAGCACCAGCTCATCACTGCAAGCGCTCGGATTGGCAGGAGTGAGTTGCAGCCGCAGTAATAGCCCAAGTGCGGGACAGCCCAAGAAGCAGCATGAGCAGTAGCAGCCTTGTTTCAATCATCGGCCGACTGAGAACATGGCCGAATTGGTGTTTGCAGCTTGTGGCCAAGGTTTCTGATCCTTCGCAGCCGGTGTGTGTTCAAGATGTTTCTGAATGGCTCAGGAGGCTTCGAAAGAGAACACGGTCCATGGCACTTCGGAATCATGCTAAGATTATTGTTTATGGAGCGCCTGCAACTCTACCACTTGCATCTTCTGAGAAGGCATCAACCCCGCAGAACAAGCGACCGACCTTAGAACTGCACATGTATGTACACATGAGCATGTACGCATACGTGCATTGATGGATGCACGGTGGTACGTAGGTAGCGAGCTACTAGCTCGCTAGTTAGCCAAACATGTAGGATTGCAGGTCAATGCACGTATATATGCATGCATGCGAGCATGCATATAGATACTGTATTACAGATACGGATAGAGAAGCAAGAGACTGAGATCAGAGTGCGATAGCCAGAGAAATGGACAGAGGACGGAAAGACCAATGGGCAGGCAAACGAATGCGGAGGCAGACACCAGGCGGAGGAACTGACGCAGCCGAACTGTCGAATCTGATAGAAAAATACGTAATTTGTGGCCTCTTCGAGCAGGGAAGAGGCGAACGACACGAAGCCGGTGTCATTGCCGCTTGTGTTGTTCTGCTTTGTTGCTGCTTTGTGTTTACCACGGTTGCGCGTGCCGGCGTCGCCCTCGATTCCCGGAAATCCAGACCCCCTGCGTCTAAGCTTTGAGGCGACAGAGACTACTCAAGCCTCCCTTTATCCGGGTCCCGCTGCCACTGCGCTTCGCTGCGCCAGGAGCCATGGGCCTCAGCGTTTTGCCGAGGTTGCAGTCTCCAAAGTCGAAAGCTGCGCAATTTGAGACCGACAGGCCTGCACGGAGGATCCTTCCGAGGTCGTATCTCGATCACTCCCGTCCTGCAAAGCCAAAACCAACATGCTCAGTGCTCCGTTTTGGGCTCAGCATGTCCCAACACCCTGTAGCCCCAGACTACAAGCCCTGGCACTTTGCCTGTCGTCGGGGCCGGCTCAGGCTCCAACAGGCTGAAAAAACAAGGCACCATCGGGCACCCCACGGAACTTCACACGTGCAAAAGACACTTGATACTCGTGCCCCGACAGCCTGAACCTCCGATAATCAAACTCAAGAGTTTAGCACTTTCACCCCCCCCTCCCCCCTCCCCCAAAAAAAAGAAGCCTCGGTCCTCTGTGCTCCCACAATCGTCAGCTGCCCAGTGGGCTGGGCCCACCCTGCCTTGTGAGAGCGAAGGGGTGTCGAAGATCTTCGGGTCCACAGCGACCTCGTGGAGCAGCATTCGGCTCAAACCGACAAGCGGGGACTTCGAGGGCAGATGGTAATCGGAAGGCAATCAAAGCATCCGGTTGCTGCACCTTCTGGACTCCGCCAACTGAGAATTCACAAGCAAGAACAACACTTGGTTGGGAGAATTCTCAAGCAATTCCGCCTCATCTGCTGGTTCGTCGAGTGTCGTGGGCTCGAGAAGGTTAAACCGGCATTCAGGGTGCAGCCACAGTTGGAAAACAGAAACTCGTCGCCTCATCCAAAAGGTGGTGATGGGTGCAAATACTCTTGAAGAAGCCTGTGGGTGGCCGAACTTGGCAATAGCCCATGATGACAAGCCCCAGATGCCAGAAATGTTGCCCCTGAAGGCATTTACCCAATCCAAACCCGAATGAGGCCTGCACCTTCCAAGGCTCGCTGTTGATGTGCGTTGGCGGCGAGAGCCCGGGCGGTGGGTGGCAGGCGCTCTGCCCGGGCATGCACATCACGAAGGCTGGCTCGGAGTACATGTTCCTGGGAGGCTCCAAGGGCGAGGGGCGCTCGAGCGCCGGAGCGCTTGGGCGGCGCGAAGTCTCGTCTAAATGCATGCACTTGTAAACGCTCTATGCAAAGAACAAACAGAGGCCACATTCCCTGCTTGCGCACACGGAGAGATTCAGACAGTGGTGGCGGTGTCGGTGGTCGTAGTAGGCAGTTGTGGTGACGACTGGTGATGAGGAGGAGGAGGTCGGAAGAGGAAGAGGACGACGACAACCAAAAGGAGGAGGGCAACGATGAGGAGGAGGATGGTATGACGACGACAACGACCAGCGCAGTGGCCGGAGCGGCTGAACCTGAGTGCTGATTGCTGCTGGCGGACTTGAGATTTCGAGTTCAGCAAGCGCAACCCAAGAGCAAAAAATCCTGCAAGGGCTTTTGGCGCTCGGTGCTCAGTCCTGAAGCTTCTCAGAACATCGAACAAAATGCCGAAGCCATGAGCCCACTGCTGAGGCCCACGGAAGCTTCAACCCCAACAGCCAGACCAAAGTCTTCTGCACCAAGCGCAGCAAGATCAAGCTCCCCTCCCTTCCTTGGACCCCAAAGATTTGATCTTCAGACTACCGCTGCGGCGCCTTGCCTGTCTTGCGCTCTGGCCCAGGGATCTCGGCTGGTCAAGGTCGCGCTGCAAGCCAAAATGGCTGAAGTTACGGCGTGACTCCTGCGATTCGTGGCGCCAAGAATCAACATGCCCCTTCCATTCCCATGCTGGGCCTGATCTCGGTTAACCGATTCGTGGACTCATGACAGCAACAACAACAATAGAACAACCATCACAGGGGTGATAATGACATGAATAGGTAGCACCAAGAATCACAAGAAGTACTCGAAGCTCAACCGAACTCAAGGCCATAGCGACCGGAATCCGAACAGTGTCGTTCTGCTGGCGATCCTGGCCATGATGATTCTGAGCAGGAGGAGCATGACGGTGATGACGATGATCATGATCACGAGGATGGTGGGGGTTTAATGGTAGCGGTGATGCTGTGTGGCTCAGGCCTGAAATTCGCAGCAGCATGCATTCCTTCGAGCCTGGTGCCCCCAGACACCCCGGCAGCACAGCCGACGGCTGCAGAAGTGCCAAAGAGGACGCGAGTCGAGGCGCCTCGAACCTGCTCACTTCTTGTCGGTTGCGGGGTGGAGAGGCGTCCAAGGCACAAAGACTTCCGGGATTTGCAACTCTGCAGAACCATCATGTCGTGTTGCCGCATGCCAGATGTTGAAGTCTTCCAGCCCATCGGCAAGCTTCACACTCGAAGTTCTTCAACAAGTTGAGGCCGTCAACCTCGAAACCCATTACTTGTGTTGAGCTGCTGAGTGTGAGCTGAATTCAGAGCCCCTATTTCCACCTCCTTCGGTTGCCGAACAGAGGTCGGTCGCTGCGTCCTTCACTTTACGATCATGGCTTTGTGCGCTTCAATTGGATCTTGGGAAACTGGCTTAAGAACTCCGCAAGAGACGGACCGAGTACCGGTGACACTAAAGGAACCCCGCGACTCCCCTGAAGAAGAGGGGAGATGCGCGTCCGCGTCTCCTGTGAGGTCGAAGAGCCTGGGCCTGGGCCTGGGCGGCTGGGCGGCGGAACTCGTTGAAAGTCCCGCTCGACAAGCTGCGAGAAGGCAAATTTCAGTTCGCTGCGACAGCAAAACGATCTCCTCTCGAAGAGTGAGGGACTCGCCCTCCTCCGCCCTCAAGCCCCAGTGTTCAACCCACATTCTTGAGAGATTGGAGGCCTTTGGGGTCACATTGAACAGAAAACACTGTGAGCCTTCGAAATGGTAAAGCTTTCGCTTGCCTCACACTCACCTGGTCGGGTGCTTTTGATGACACTGACAAAGACATGATAGCATTAATTAGCATCTGGCGGCACGCTGGGGCAAAATCTGCATCCCATGGTCGGACCACAGCTACATGCGCGAAGTCTGGTCACCAAGCACACGAACACGTGTTCTTCGCATCACTGCACGGCATGTCTGTATATCTACACCAAAATCATATGTCCCAAAACCCAGTGCACATCCTGTCCCACAACAGTGGTTTCCATAGAGCATCCTCTTAACAACGACGAATCCTTCTGCCATGAAGCCCAGAACGAGCAAAGGTTCCTTTCCGAAACTGAGCCATTGGCGGGCCCATCGCGCGGCCATGCGCGAATTTCACATGCCATGATCTGTTTGGCAACTTGCACGCGAAGAAATTGCTCTAAGCTTGGCAAGGGGGAAAGGGTGGCAGGAGGGGAGGGAGTGTTTGGGGGAGGGGTGGGAGGGGTTCTCCGATGTCGTTTTGCACTTACCTGGAACATGTCATCCGGCCTCCTGACACTCCGAACCTCAAAGCTGCGAGGGAAGCGGCTAGCGATCACGCGCAAACCATTGTCGGCATGTGTGGCCTTCAGATCCCTTCAGCCCCTTCAGCTTCGGAGCTCCAAGCAGCGTGAAGTTGCGGGAGTTCCCGTATCAGCAGCGCGGCTCAGGGCGGCAACGATTTCGACAACGAACTCATATTCGCAATGACCTCGTGCAAGCTCGACAACGTCCGATAACATGCCTTCCTCGGCGAATGAAATTTTCAAAAATACCACCAACTTGCAAATATACTTGGGGGGCATTAAGATATTCGAATAACCCGCAATCACTCATAAGACAATTAAAAATAAATTTCAGATATCATGTATATGCTCATTCGATTTTTTTGAATCTATTTGTATATCTTTATTCCGGAATACGAACCCTTTTAATTCTAGGGCTCCCTAAAAAATGCAATGCAAAAATCGATGAAAACCCCTAAAATAAGAACCGTTGGGGTTTCGAAGCAGCGCCACTACCCGATCGTTTTCCCTATTACGTCGCAATTATACAAAATAGATGCACATGTTGAATTCATCTAATCTATTACCGGAATAACAAGCGGCGCGACAAGCCCTCCAGCTCGTCGTACGCATACGAGGTATGAGAATCAGCGTGGATGGCATTGTTGACTGCTCGCCCATGGGAGGTGCAGCTTGTAATTCAGGGTGGGTTGGAAATCGGTTCAACACAATGAAACTGAGCCATCGCACTTTTTCAGATGCGATCTCGGGAGCGCGTGTACCGGACGCCATGCATGCCCCGCTCTGGGCTGCGGTCTCTGTGGTCTCTCGCGGGAGAGACCACAGCGGGGGAGCGGTTCCGCCGCGCCTGGCCAGAACACGTGCAACAAGGGCAACGTCACAGCAGTGTCTGTGTTCGGCAGTGACGGCTGCAGCCGAAAGATGTTGAAAAACCCTGCAAAGCTCGAATGAAAATTCTAAAACCCATATCTGCACCAACCGCAAAGCCTCTCCATGGCACGCACAAACGGGTGCCCCCACCTGAGAGCGTTCTCAGCCGTTGCATCGAAGAGTGATTGGGGCTTTTTAATATCTCTCCTCAGGACCCAAACCTAGGCCCAGAGAAACCGCCACGTCGCCGCCCGACTTGGCGCGCTTCTCCCGTCTAAAAGTCTTGAATGAATGATTACATATTCGTGGCTTCTGAGTTGCAGCTTGAAGCCGTCTCTGGAAAGCTTTAGGGCTTGGAGGGACTTCGGCTTTGAGAATTTACAGGATGACCTAACCAAAAGACACACAATGCTTCTATGCTATGTGTTATGGCTTTGTGATTTCCTCATTTTTGTCTTCTCGCAGTCACATAAATCTGTTTAAGGTTTGACTTCACAGCTAAACAGCAAAACTTGCACGCCGAAAAGTCTGCCAGGCCTTCCGAGGATCTGGCATTGGCCCTCCATGGGCCTCCAGGATCTCTAATGGTTCCGGGCCCCGCCATTGCTAGAGTGGAAAACCCCAAGCTGACGTCTAATTAAATGAGGGCGTGCATCCTCCACCATGACACACTTCGGTCTCCCCTATCACTCCGAGCCCGAGTTTGCTTTTTGGTGCGGTTCGAGGCTCGGGGTCCAGGTTTTTGGTCTTGTATGCTCCGCGGGCCTGGCCTCTCATGCCCGGGAATGATATGTAAGGGCGCGAAAACATCATGTGGAGCACTCAAGAAGTAGTGTACGAATCCTTTGCATATGAGGGGAAAGGCCTGCACGCGCCCCTTTGGCAACCCAAAGAAGACTCTGGAGGCACCTGGCCCCTGGAGACTCATGATGATCGAAGGGTGCCCTAAAAAACATGTCGAAAAAGCTTCAATGAAGTGAATGGCTTCAGAATGGCATGGTGCCTTGCATGAGGGTGCAACAAGCATGACAATACGCAAGGTTCCGCCCGGACTTCCACAACCTACCTGCTCGTGGTAAAGGCATGCCTCTCAAAGTCCAGACTTGACCAAGTACCCGGGGGGGGTTCAACAGCTCCCATGCACACACAACATCAGACACTGACTGAGCGTGTCAGCATTCGCATCTTCACTGACCTACCGTCAAAACTCTATTCGATAGGGGGCATCGCAGCTGTTCACCTTATTTTGCAGGCTGTACACGGGCTTTTGGACCGTCAGCGGCAAATGTCCTCCAAGTTTGCCTCCCATAAGTCAATTCCCCCCGTGCGCAGGCTGGGCGGCTTCGGCCCTGCCTGCGGCGAGGAGCTGCGCTCGCCGGCCAGCCTGTCAAAGAATCGCTCTCGTCTCCCCCTCATCTGTCTCTTCTTTTCCAGGGCATGGGGCAAACAAGGCACCGAAAGGGACATCAGCTAGCCCATGCCCCTTTCAGCGGCAAACTGCTTCACGTCGGTCTCTGGCTCTTTCTCTCGCTCGCTCGCTCGTCTCGCTCTCGCTCTCGCTCTC